TCAGACTGAGGGCAGGAAAGAAGATGGGCCAAGGGGGACAATGTTTAGGGGACAATGCTCCCATGGGCGTGTCCATGTGGCTCAGCCCGGAGTGACTGCTAGAGTTTGCCTAGGTCCTTCCACCTGTGGGATGGCAAAGGAGGAAGGCCCCTGCCCAGGAGCAGTGGATGTGTCTGTGTCCTAGGCTCATGTGACAGTGTCAGGAAGTCTGACTCGTGGATGAGCAAGGTCTCTGGGGACACATGGGCGGGAGCGTCCTCAGCTGTGAGGATGACTGTGAAGATGGCACGGAGGCCCGGGGTCTGGTGCAAGGTTAGAGGCTCCCTAGAGGCAGAGGCTTGATGGTGAGCACTGAGTGCCTTCCAGCCTCCAGTTATCCTCTCCAACAGCTCTCGACTGTGACCCAGGAGCCCGTCAAACAGGCTTGCTTCCATTTCCTCCTGCCTGCTAACATTTCTCCTCAACTCCAAGAGCACCTCAGCATCCTTCTCTTCTCACTGGGTCCCCTATTTGTGAAAGCCAACCCAGCAAGGCCTTGTGGGCCTCCTCCAGCTAGAACCCACATCCTTTCCATATCTGCCAACCCAACCCAGGGCTCCATCACCAGCCAAGGGCAGCCTTCCTGCCCTGTGGCGCAGGCTTCTGCCCTGAACTCACCTGCAGCAAACCGAGGCCTGTAGAGGCATCTCCTCTCAGCAGAGATACAGGGACATGCAGGCATGGCTCTTCAGATGTGCAAGGAAATTTTCTTTTGATTTGGTTCTTCAGCAACAACTTGAAACAACTATCCTTACTCCTGGCTTGTGGAACAGAGATCCTTCTGGGCCAAGGGCGTAGCTCAGTGACCCTGTGTCTGTCTAGCAAGTGTAAGGTGAGACAGTCAGGGCTTGGGAAGGAAAACCTGCTCTTGAGAGCCCACAATCTCATCCAAGCTGGGTCTCTCCTGAACACATTTTGTAGAGGACAATGCTCCCATGGGCGTGTCCATGAGGCCTAGCCTGAGGTGACTGCTGGAGTTTGCCTAGGTCCTTCCACCTGTGGGATGGCAGAGGAGGAAGGCGCCTGCCCAGGAGCAGCGGATGTGTCCTGTCCTAAGCTTATGTGACAGTGTCAGGAAGCCTGACTTGTGGATGAGCAAGGTCTCTGGGGACACACGGGCTGGGAGCGTCCTCAGCTGTGAAGTCTGCTCTTTCCTGAACACTTGAAATGGGTCGGGTGTGACCCTGACCTCACTGTACCATAGTGCCTTAAAGCGGGTCCTACCCAGCTCCCCACTTTGCAGATGGGACACAGAGGCTCAGTCATTGTCTAGGGTCACACAAGCTGGTGAACGCCAGACCCCAGGCTCACTGGCTTGCCCTATCTTAATGTCCTATGCTGTGTACAGGATGAAGGCCGGGGGGCAGATCCCAGGAGCTCCTGCAATTCTTCGAAGGCTGGGAATAAATCACGTCTGCCACCAATGGGGCTCCAAACTCCCCCTTTTCCTTCACCACCCTTCCAAAAGTTGCCAGATCCCTTACTATTCCGATCTCCATTATTGGAGGAAGAGAGGTAAAGTCAGGGCCAGGAGCTGGCATCCCAAGACACAGCATTTGGAGGAGCACATCTTTGCTGAGTGGCTCCAGGCAGGGGTCCTCAGCCCAGGAAAGCCTGTCTTGTGCTGGGGTCTAGCTCACAGCCTGCTTCCCCAGCTGTCCCCAGGCCCTTTGTTTTCTGAGCTCGGAACTTCAGCCAACTCCCCCAGCGCCCTTGAGTCCCCAAGTGGCCTGTCCCCCATGCACTGGAACCTCACAGGACCACTCCCTCATGGCAACAGCCTGTGCCCGACAGTGCCAGTCTGTGCCTGCACCCCTGTGCCAGGGCAGCTGGCCTGGGTGAGGCTGGGCTGGCTCAGGGTTGGAGGCGGCAGCTCTGGGCCTGGCATAGCTCCACTCAGCCTTGCTTCTGACAAAAAGCCTCCTCCAGCCTGGGCATTCTAGAATGTGTCATAGGGCAGGTGGTGAGGGGAGATGAGTGGTCTGTGAGCTGGTGAGCACATCTTATGGCCACCCTAGGTCAGTCAGGGAGCCCCTAAAGGGTGTGTCTTCATCACTAGCTCCCCTGTGCCCAGTATGGTGCCTGGCACATGGTTAATACGCACGACAATGAACTGGATACAGGGCAAGACCATATGCTCATCTTTACGTGCACCATTTGTGTGTGTGTGTGTGTGTGTGTGTGTGTGTGTGTGTGTGTTCATTCATGCAAAGACTCGGCTCAGTGCGCACCTGATCAGGCTGGCTGATCTCCAGGGCTCCCCAAAGACCCTTCTCGATGCTATCTATACACGGCCCCTCTAAGACTACAGTCTTGGTCCCCAGAGTGTCCCCAGGGCCTTCAGGCTGGGGACATGGCTGATAAAGGTCTGGATTAAACTGAAGTTTAAGATGAGCTGGGGTTGGGCTACCTACGGTCGATAGTAATTATCTATGGTGCTAGAAACGATGGATAGCTGTGGCCACTGCAGGGTGGAGATGACCACTGTGACGTCCATCTCTGCCTTGCTCTGGCACATTCCAGAAAAGTGTTCACAGCCCAGGCTCCTCCAGGACCAGCCGCTGCTCTGCAGAGCCCCCAGCACTGGCAGACTGACAGGGCTGGAGCCAAATGATGACAGAATGCCTGCTCTGTGCCAGGCACCAGGTCGTGGCACACCAGGGCCCGGGGGTGATTCTCTACCAGGCTATAAAGTCTAGTAGATGAAGCAGAGATCAGTGGAGTTGCTCCCACAGCAGACAGGAGGGCCAGGAGCCAAGTCCACTCACCTTTCCCAGCTGTGGTCCCAGAGGAAGGCTGAGCAGCCTGAGGCCTCACAGCGGCTCGAGAACCACTCTGCAGCTCCGCTGCCAAGTGTACTTTATAATCGCTACATGACAGGTGAGAGAAAATGAGGCTCCACATGGGGAGAGACTTGTCCAGGAAGTTCACAGAGCTGGAAGGAGATGAGGTCATAATACACCCCCACGCATCCGGGCCCTGGATGGTGCCATGGTATGCCTCCCTGTTCTGAGGACTCCTGCATCTGATGGCATCTGGGGGCATACTTTGGGGATGTCCCTACTGACCCTAGGGGTGTGTGTGTGTGTGTGTGTGTGTGTGTGTGCATGCACACGCCTACCAGCTCCTGGAAGAATGGAGCCACAGATGTTCTCAATCAGTTAAATGTGATACACAACTAACACTTTCTCTGTGCCAGGCACTTTGCTAGAAACAGGGATACTAAGATGTATGTGGCATGGTCTTCCCCTGGGGAGACCACAACATTCTAATGGAGACATCTGCTTCATGGACAGCGCACCAAGAGGGGCATCACGATCAGGCCTGGAAGTTAGATGTGCCAGCACACCCATACCATCCTTGCAACTGGGGGCAGAGGGGACTGAGGCAGGGGAACTTCAAGTTGGAAGCCCACCTGAGCAACTGAGACCTTGTCTGAAATTAAAAAAAAAAAAAAAAAAACAATCAGAGGGGCTGGTGAGATGGCTCAGTGGTCTAAAGCACCTACTTAGAACAAGCTTAACAAAGCACAGGGACCACGGTTCAATCCCCCAGCACCACATGCCAGCCAGTCCCGCCCCCTGGTGGGCTGAGCTCACCACACACACACCACACACACACACACACACACACACACACACACACACACACACAAACAATCAGAGCTGAATTCTAAGCGCAGATGGGCACATGTTGCGCCCTTCCCAGCAAGGGTGAGTTGTGAACAAAGGTGTGCAGGGGGAGGTTGTCCTGCCTAGGAAGGATGTCACCTGGAAATGGATGGGAGTTCCAAGGGGCTGCAGTACCAGTCAGGAAGTGACAGTGGCAAGGACAGGGAGGGGCGCCCTTCCAGGCCTGTGAGGCTGGAGGCTGGGTGGGGAGGGAGGGCCATCTGCTCACCACCTCCCCCCTAGCTACCCATTCTCAGCTCCACCCATCCTCCCTTGCCACCTCCTCCCTGGCAGGCCCTGGGGCTGCTTCTCTCCCCACACCCTGCAGGTGCCAGCTGTGCTGCGGAAGCTGCAGAGGTTATGGGTGTCCTAAAGAGCTCTTTCTGAGGGGATAGTGTGATGGAGTCAAGGAGCGTCCTGGGCTCTGTCCATCTTAGCACCTGTGTAGACAGGATACAGGCTTTGGGAGCAGTGGGTCTAAGCAGGTCTCTGCTATGCTGCAAAAGGGAGGCTTCTTTGGGGGTTGCACTAGCCCTCAGCCTAGAAGGGCTGCTGGGCCCTGAGCCCATCTGGTCCAAGCATGGCTAGTGGGGCCACGGCCAGGACTTTGCCATGCTAAGCAGAAAATGCCTTAGCTGGAGACTCTGACCAGGGACTATGGGTAAATCATGAGACCCCTTCTCACTGCTGGAAAAGTGAGGTGCTCCTGAGAGACCTAATGCAGCCCTCAGAGGCACTGTTTAACCCCACCCAGGTGACTATGGGAGAGAGATAGAGGGAATAGTCTGCCTTGAACCCCAGTAGCCAGAGCATGGTGTCACTGCCCCCACCCCAGGCACAGGTCCTGTTCTCCTCTGAACCCTACTACATCAAGAGCCATCACCATGAGCAGGATTTGGCCTCCCACTTAGTCCCTGCTCTTACTTCCTGAGCTGTACCCGGCTGGCTGGAGGGGGCAGCTGGGAAACAGGGCAGACCCAGGCTCCCAGGGGGTGGGAGGAGGCACTTAGCCTCGGGAAGAGCTCCTTGGTAATCGCCAAGCCCCTTCCCCTGGGGCCCAGGAGGATGACTGTCTCGGCGATTCGAGCTCACCCGGGGCAGCCAGTAAGAGCCTCGCTGACCAGATGGGCCAGGGCTAGAGGGCGGCCTCAGCCTCGGCCTCGCTCAGAGCTCTGTCTCCTCTCAGGTACCTCTCAGCTTCCAGCCTGGTGTGCCCCCAGCTGGTCTGAGGCGCTTCTCCTCAGACCCTCCTCCGCACCTGGACAGGCCATGACGGGGACACCCCCCAGGATGAAGCCACCCCTGCTGCTGCTGCTGCTGGTGGTCACCACAGCTCTCCTCTCTTCCCCAGGTAAGAAGGCTCGTGTGGCTCTGAAGGGTGACTACATTACCAAACCGTTGCTATGACTTGGTGATGGTTATGGAAATAATTGCCTCTGTGTGGTTGCTAAAAATTCCCCACTTGTGGATCTCACCTGACCTTTGAGGTTAGGAGAAGAAATGAATCTCTGTTGTACTGCAGATGAGGCAAGAATGACCCAGAGAGGGAAAGTGGCTTACTCAGGGTCCCACAGCAAGATGACAGAACAACCAGATCACACTCTCAGCACAGCCAAGCTGCATCGGTTTTGTTACTGTTTTGTGGGCCTGGAGGTCAGACTTGGGCCTCATGACCACTGTGCTATGCCCAGCCCCTGGAGCTGGGCCCTAAGGCTTCGCTTCCCCTGCGGGATTACAAAGCTGAGTTTCAGTTCACTGTGATGACCCTGTCCACAGTTTACCCCAAGTGACAGTAGTCATCTTGGACTGCACAGGAGACAGCAGTGACTCCCTAGAACTGTGGGAGGTTCCCTCCAGGGGACAGGGTCCCTGCAGAGGGACAGCAGAGTACTGGACAGAGGCAGAGCTGAGACCCAACCTAGGAGCCAAGTGCTCAGTTTGCCCATCCCAGTGCTCAGCTTGGGGGAGGGAAGAGGGAACGGAGAAGGGAGGGAAGTGAAATACAAGGCTAAGAGCTGCCATGCTGGGGCAGGGGAGGTGTCCAGGGCCTGCCGCTCAGGGCTAGGGGGCACTGCTTGGCCCCACACTGCTCTGCCACCCCCCTGCTCCCTCCTTGCCTGAGCAGGTGGTTCTTCTTCCCCCAGACAGGTCCGCAGCCAAGATCCTGGCACCTAGTGTCTCAGTTACTTTTCTCATGTTGTTGAGACAAAATACCCCACACCCAGAGTTAAAGGGGAAAGGTTTATTCAGCTCACAGTTGATAGAGGTTTCAGTCTATCATTGCCTGGCTCCTGGCACATGGCAGCCATTCATGGTGGCTGCAAGACAGCGAAAGCAACAAGGAACAGACACCAAAATCTTTGTGTCCCTTACACCATACGCAGCCTACCTGTCCTAGGGTGGATGGGTGTAGCACTTCCACCCTTAGCCCCAGCCGGTACTATGCCAAGTCACATGCCCTTGATCCCAGCACCACACACTCTAAATTCAGTCTCCACTGGAAAAGCCCTCCGGCCACACGAGGCTCCTCAGTGTCTCCTCCCTCAGACGACTTGGTGCTGCACCTACACCACCCTAAGCTAGGGCTACAGGCAGCATGCAGAGGCCTCGGTCCACTGCCGAGAGGCCAAGACCTACACCTTAGAGAGAGAGAGAAAGGGAGAGGTGGCAAATGTCATCCCTGGTCCCCACCCCTGCCAGGAAGGTGGCTTAGCCCTTGGCTTTCCAGCTGTGCTGCTCTTGGGGTAGAGCTTTGGGTTCCTGTGCCACAACCAAGGAAAATCAGGGAGATCAGTGAGACTTCTCCTCCCTGTTCAGCTCTCTAAGCCTTTCCCCTGTGAGGCTCCTGATGCCTGCACCCAAGGAAAGGGTTACCAGGACAGGGAGCCAGGAGCAAAGCTGTGAAATGAGGAACAAGGACAGCAGGGAGAGCTGGCTTTGCTGGGGAGTGTGTGTGTGTGTGTGTGTGTGTGTGTGTGTGTGTGTGTGTAAGCACACCTCATATGTAGGAAGCTGCATGTGGGGGTGGATATGTACCCAGCTGTGGAGCAAAGTGGGGGGCGTGATGGTGTCTGTGGATGCTGTGAGGCTGGAGGCATAAGTGGGGTGCAGCGTGGAGGGGCACCATGTTTGGGAAGTAACTGAAAGCCTGGCAGAAGGCTAGGCTCTCTACTGCCACCTTCCAGGGTGTACAAGGCCTTCATTGCAGGGTGGGCTCTGGGCCCACACAGCTGCCACCACCAGCCAGATTCCTGAGAGCTTCCAGGGACTCTGACTCCTGACCTCTGGGGCAGAATAGGGCCCCTGAGGGTTCTTGTGGAAAACTTGGGTCAAGAATCATGGACACTGGGCTAGGGAGGTAGCTCAGCTGTCTATATGCCTGCCTGGCAAGTGCAAAGACCCTGCTTTGATCTCCAGCACCACATGCTGTGCCAGGGCCCCAGAACCCTGGGCATGCCTAGCCGGCCACTGAAACCAGGCATGGTGGTGCACGCCTGTAATCCCAGTGCTGGGGAGGTTGAGACAGGAGGATCACTATGAGTCTAAGCTGCCTAGTGAGACCCTGTACCAAATAAATAAATAATGTTTTAAAAATTAATAAAGTAAAAAATAAAAATAATATCAGATACCATGGACACATGTAATTCTAGCGCTCTGGGAGGTTGAGGAGGGGGTAGCACATTCAAGCCCAGCCAGAGCAACTTAGAGACTAGTGAGAGACTTGTCTCAAAATAAAATATTAAAACAGGCTGGGGATGCAGCTCAATGAGAAAGCCCTGAATTCAATCTCCAGCATCACAAAAAGAGGAGAAGAACAGTGAGAGGGAAGGGGAGGGATGGGGACAGGGAGAAGAAAGAAAGAAAGAAAGAAAGAAAGAAAGAAAGAAAGAAAGAAAGAAAGAAAGAAAGAAAGAAAGAAAGAAAGAAAGAAGAAAGAAAGAAGAAAGAAAGAGGAAAAGAAAAGAAGAAAAGAAAAGAAAAGAAAAGAAAAGAAAAGAAAAGAAAAGAAAAGAAAAGAAAAGAAAAGAGCTGCAGAAGAGCAAAATCTCCTGATCTGCTTCTTGCTGTGTGGGGCAAATTCTTAAACCTTTATATATTGCAGTTTTCACACTGGGAGAATAAGAAAATGTAGAGCTTGTCCTGTTGAGAGTTTATAAGAAGGAAATATAGAAGCGTGGAACCAGATAAACAGCAAGGGATTGACTAGTAACTCCTAGTCATATTAATTCTTTAATTTATATATTGTTGATAAATATATCTACCTGTGAAATCATGCATATAGAAATGTCTGCCTGCCACTGCTACTGTGCATAGAAAAAATGCATGTATCTGGCCATGGGAGGAGCTTCAAGAAGCACATATGTGTAATGCACAAATGTATGTGATGCGAGTGTGCCAGTGAGCGATGTGTGCGCGCGGGCACTTGAGTGGGCACAAGAAGTGCAGGTGGCTGAGTGCAGAAGAGAAAGATTCTACAAGAAGAAAGGCAGTCCCAAGGTGTCTGTGGGCCTGGGCCTCTCGTGGCCCCCACCACCGAGACAAAGCTCCCGGGAGCTGCTATTGTCTGAGGTGCTTCTCAGGAGCCTGGCTGCCTCCCATCTCCCTTGCTCTGCCCTCCCAGTGGTCCCAGCTGGAGCAGAGACCCATAGCCTCCACCACCATCATTAACTGGGGATTAAGCTGGGCTTCCCAGCCAAGAAGACGCTGCCGCCCGCTCTGAGGCCTGGGGCAGCAGTGAAGGAGAGGGATGGTCGAGGTGGTAGGGAGCGGGGCAGGGCACCTGCATCGGTGCTTCCTGGGAGCACTGCCTCCTCCCTCATTCTGAGAGCTGCTGAACAGCTGCCCCCATCCCCTGGGAGCCAGGCCGGGCCTCAGCTGCAGCACTGGGCCCATCCTTGGAAAAGGCTAACAGCTGGATGCCCCTGGAAAGGAGGCACTAATTGGTTAATGGGGGCCTCTCCCCTCTTCCATCCACCATGGAAGCTGAAGTCAGTTGCACTGAGAGGTGGGGGCCAGTCAAGGAGCTGGCTCCTGCCTGACAACATGGTGGTCAGCCCAACTGGCCCCAGCTTGTGGAAGCAGTATGAGGAACTGTCCCCTCCATACTGGTGAGACAGAACAGTGGCACTGAGAGAGAAGCATCTGCCCAGGACAGGGCTGCCTTGCCAACTTCATCTACAGGTGTGATACCATCCATTCAGCAGTTTCAGGAGGCCTGAGATCTAGACCTGGCAGTGTCACAGACTTGCTGTGCGACCAGGACAGGCAAATCATTCCCTTTTCTGGCCTCTTGAGTCATGACCCTGGGATTTCATAAGACTGCCACCAACCAATCTGCCCACCAGCCACCTGCCAGTCCTTCTCCCCCAGCTCCCGGCTGCCCATATGGAGGACGAGCAGACATGTGCTGAGCACTCGTGCCCTGCACCGGCTCCCGTAGGGTTCTGGCTGAATCCTCCTGCGGACCTGGGGGGTAGTCATACTTGTTCCTTTTCACAGGTGAAGACACTAAGGCTCAGAGGACTACTGGAACCAGCCCAGGAGGCCCAGCCTAGCTTCAACCAGAGCATTTTGCACTGGGCTGACAGCCCCAAAGTAGCATAGAGTCTAGGGACACACATCCTTGCTCCCCCTCTTTTTCTGCAGTACTGAATGTTGAACCCATGCCAGGCAAGTGCTCTACCGCTGAGCTCAATCCTCCAGCCCTTTTTATTTTTATTGTTTACTTTGAGACAAGATCTCACTAATTCATCCAGGCTGACTTCAAACTTGATCTTCTTGCCTCAGCCTCCCAAAAAGCTGGGATTCCAGGCCTGCACTATCAGGCTGCCTCGGACGGATCTTCTGAGGCTCCCAGGGCGGCAGCAATCACTTCCCAGCCCTTGGTCCTAAGCCATTATTATGTCGTATGCCACCCTGCACTGTCAGCTTTCTGTCCTATCTTCAAGCTCCCCCAGGGAAAGGGTCTGAGTCTGCTTCATTTCACAGCCCAGTGCCACGTATATAGCAGGTGCTTAATACCTGAGGGTACTATGGGTGATTGACTGTGCTAACCCAACAGATGGGGCCTGCCCAGCCCAGCCTATTTAAATTTAATTTTAAGTTAATTAAGATTAAATTATATTAAAAACTCAGTTCCTCAGCTACAGGAGCCACATCTCCACTTCTCAAAGAGCCACAAGTGGCCAGTGGCCACCATACTGGACAGTGCAGAAAATGGAACATTCCCATCATCGTGGAGACTGCTGAGTGGCACAGCCCAGAGGCCAGGCTCCAGCTAGCCCCAGGCACTGAGGACTCTGGTGTGTCCCTATTTATAGCTTGGAGCCTGGCCCAGGGATCCCCAGCCACCTTTGGGCCTGTCTTTGAAGACCAGCCTCTTGGCTTGCTGTTCCCAGAGGAATCCACAGAGGAGCAGGTGACACTGGCCTGCCGGGCCCGCGCTAGCCCTCCTGCCACCTACAGGTGAGCCCCCTGAAGTGCTGGGAGGCCCTCAGAAGCCATGATTTTTCCTCATGTTGGCCCTGCCACCACAGGGCTGAGGTCCACTCCTCTGTCTTCTGTGGCAGGTGGAAGATGAATGGCACAGAGATGAAGCTGGAACCAGGTTCCCGTCACCAGTTGGTGGGGGGAAACCTGGTCATCATGAACCCTACCAAAGCGCAGGATGCCGGTGTCTACCAGTGCCTGGCCTCAAACCCTGTGGGCACTGTGGTCAGCAGGGAGGCCATCCTCCGCTTTGGCTGTAAGACTCCGAGTGGGGCTGAGACACTGGGGGGAGGGCAAGAAAGGTACCTGGAAGGACAGGAGACACCCTCAAGCTAGGCTTTCCCACCCTTGCTAATGAACGCAGCTTTCCTGTGGAGGATGAAGTGGGGAGGGGACCAGGGCTGGAGGACAACGCCTGAGCCCCATCTCTGTCCTCAGTTCTGCAGGAATTCTCCAAAGAAGAGCGAGACCCAGTGAAAGCACATGAAGGCTGGGGGGTGATGCTGCCCTGTAACCCACCTGCCCACTACCCAGGTGAGCAGGCTGCAGGGGACACGGGTCAGGCTTCTGGACATTCAGTGGTAGAAGGATCAAATAGGCAGGCAGGTGGCTCTAACTTTAAGTGACCTACTGCTGTTACATATCTGCCATTTTCTAGCTGCCCCTGATTGCAGGTCCCAAGTACCTAGCACTCCCTGAGGACAGATTAGAGTCACATCTCCCTGCACTCCTAACTCAGAGCTTGGGGACTCAGGGCAGGGTCAAAGATCATTGCCAGCATGTCAGGGTCCATCTCAGATCGCTCCTGAGCCCAGAACTTCCTGGTTTCCTCAAACTCCTCACATCCTAGGTTTGTCATACCGCTGGCTTCTCAATGAATTCCCCAACTTCATCCCAACGGATGGGCGTCACTTCGTGTCCCAGACCACAGGAAACCTGTACATAGCCAGGACCAATGCCTCCGACCTGGGCAACTACTCCTGCCTGGCCACCAGCCACATGGACTTCTCCACCAAGAGCGTCTTCAGCAAGTTCGCACAACTCAACCTGGCTGCAGAAGGTCAGGGTCTCTGGGTGGGCACAACAGGAGTGGGGACTGAGAGGGAAAATGAGGTTCCCCTTGGAAACAATGAGCAGCTGGCAGGGCATGGGACCCAGGGCCTGGACCCTAGTCCTCCCTCAGCAAGGCCTCAGACCTTGTGCCAGGCTTGAGAATGGGAGCAGGAGTCTCCGAGATCCACCATCCTGGGAACTTGCGCCGGGCCACACCTCCCTGGAGTCTGTGTGATTCGCAAGGTCCCTCTCTCCCCAGATCCCCGGCTCTTTGCACCCAGCATCAAGGCCCGTTTCCCTGCAGAGACCTATGCGCTGGTGGGACAGCAAGTCACCCTGGAATGCTTTGCCTTTGGAAAGTGAGTACTGGGGGTGAGGGTCCCCAGGATGGGACACAGCTTCCAGGGGACATAGGATACAGGTGGGCCAAGTCATGCACAGCCACCGTGGCCCCTTGTAGGGCCTAAGGGTGCTGAACAACTTCTGTGGGTGAGACACCTCTCACCAGGGGCCTTATGTATATGTGTCACATAGCTCTGTGGCCACACATGCAGGCTCAGACAGCTTGAGGAACACCCAAGCTGCAGGCTGTTGTGGACGCCCAACCCGGCCTGCCTGATTTAAGTCCCACCTCTGCCACTTGCTGGTTAGGAGACCTGGGGGAAACTGCCTAACTTTTCTGTACCTCAGTTTCCTTGTTTGTAAATGGTGATAACAATAGCATCCTTGTACGGCTTAAAGGAATTATATACGTAGTCTTTTAAAACGTGCCTGGCATTTAGTAAGGATTCTATGAATGTTAACAGCTATTTTAAAAATTATAACAGAAAGCGTTACCTTTCTTATCCTGTCAGGAAAGGAGTCACTGGAATTAGACTAAGCAAAGGCAGATGCTCGAGCAATGTTTGTGGGATGAATGAAAAAGATGTGACTTGTGCTTCGGTGTCTTCATTCCTCATTGTGGGGCTGCTTTGTGAAAAGCCTTTAGGACTTCAGAAAAATCCCATGAAAAACACATGGGAGGGCAACTCTGACCCTCTAAGGCTTTCTGATTCCTAAGTGAGCATGGTGGCTTGCCCCTGTAATCCCAGCAGTTAAGGAGGCTGAGGCAGGAGGACCTCAAGTTCCAGCCCAGTCTGGTCAACTTTGTGAGATGCTGCCTCAAACTCAAAAGAAAAAGAAAATTTAAATAAGTGCTGGGGATGTATCATACCTAGGTTAGATCCCCCCAGGACCAAAACCAAAACAAAACAAACAAAAAAAAAAACATTGATTTGCAGTCCATTTTAACGTACATTACTAATAGCTAAAGAGTCTTGGGAAATGGGGTGAAAGGATAGGTAGGGGTCTCACATGGACACAAGTCACAGGCCTCAATGCAGGGGGGCAAGCCAGTCTCAGGGCTGCCTAGTTTGTGGCTTCATGGCTGAGGCAGAGGGCAGAGCAAGCCAGGAGCCCTGGCTCTTGCCCTTTTGCCCTTGTGCTAGAGGAAGAGCTTGGGAATCGCCCGGTGCCTCTGTCCACTCCCAGGCATGTGGCCTCCTGTCTAGCTGCCCGGCAGCCCCAGAGGACCTGGGGTCTGGGTACCAGCATCCCTGTATGCCCGAGAGCTCCCGCTCGGCCCGCCCCTGACTCTGTCTCCCCCACCAGCCCTGTCCCCAGGATCAAGTGGCGTAAAGTGGACGGCTCCTTGTCCCCGCAATGGGCCACCGCCGAGCCCACCCTGCAGATCCCCAGCGTGAGCTTCGAGGACGAGGGCACCTATGAGTGTGAGGCAGAGAACTCCAAGGGCCGCGATACCGTCCAGGGCCGCATCATCGTGCAGGGTACAAGGCAGGGACCCCTGGGCCCACCTGCCCCCTGAGGAAAAGCCCCAAAGATAGAAGGGCCCTTCTTGCCCCAGGACTGCCCCGGGGTACAGGATCACAGAGGCTGCTACTGCCGCCGCTGTGGCCAGCTCAGAGCCTCAGCCATGAGTGCAGAAAGCACACAGGGCTTCAGAAAGACTTCGCTAATACAGCCCTGGGACAACCACGGAGTGCAACTCTCCTCTCCTTTTCCCCCTTCTCCCCATTGTTTTCTCCGTGCCAGGATGCAGGCAGCGCCCTCTGCTGTCTGGAATAGGTGCTACAGCCTTGCGATTATTTCTATTCAACGAGCACCGGCTGCTTTGGCTCAGCCCAGGTTTCTCTCCCTTGCTCCCTACAGCTCAGCCCGAGTGGCTCAAGGTGATTGCAGACACAGAGGCTGACATTGGCGCCAACCTGCGTTGGGGCTGCGCGGCCGCTGGCAAGCCCCGGCCCACGGTGCGCTGGCTGCGGAACGGGGAACCCCTGGCCTCACAGGTAACCCCCCCAGGCGGGCGTCCTTCTGCACAAGACCCTCCTCTGCTCAGCTGGTTCCCTTGACACCCTAATGCTGCCCAGTACTTTAGCAGCCTCTCTGGGCCAAGGGGGTGTCAGGGGATGGATCTGCATAGAATCCCAGGGACCTGGGTGCAGTCACAACCCAGTCCCTTAAAATAGAGTGTGGTCCTCAGTGGATCACCAGGCCCCTCTGACGTTGGGGAGGCCTGGTGACCTCAGATCCTGAGGCTCCAAGGACCCCTGAGGCACGACTGGATGGATCCATGTGCCCCATTCCGAGGGACTGTGAGCCTAGGCCCCCCTGCCCCCTCCACCCTAGGCCCTGTCCTCCTCAGTCTATGCCTGACCCCCTGCCCCACCCCACCTTGCCCTGTCCTGGGCTGAGCTCTCCTGCACAGAACCGGGTGGAGGTGTTGGCGGGGGACCTGCGGTTCTCCAAGCTGAGCCTGGAAGACTCGGGCATGTACCAGTGTGTGGCAGAGAACAAGCATGGCACCATCTATGCCAGCGCCGAGCTGGCTGTGCAAGGTACAGGGCCTGGTGGGGATAACACTATGTACACACACACACACACACACACACACACACACACGTGCAGTCACAGGTGGGTTGCCTCAGTTCCCAGCATCTCAGAAGACCTGAGAAGGCTCAGGCAGGAGGCGAGCTCCCTGGACAGGGTCTCTGACTCAGCCCATGCCTGTCATCCCCAAAGCCAGTGTTTACCACAACAAGGGAAAAGATGGCAAGGGGCATCAGCAACCTCACTGATCAGGTTGGTGGTGGACACAGCGCCTCCAGCACTTGACCTTTGGCCAGTTACTTAATTTCTCTGCCTCAGTTCTTCAATTTATAAAACATGAGGAGTAATCACCCTTTCTGAATCCTGCCACACAAGGAGTGAGATGAGAGAGAGGAGGTGTCAAGGGCCTGTCCTTTGTATGGCAGGTGCCCAGCTCATGACAGCAAATGCTAATGTTTAACTCAAGGCCATTGAGCCTCTGTTTCCCCGTCTGTAAAATGGGTATATTGCTAATTATTATTTTAAATTATAGTGTGGCTTCACTGACTCATTTATCCAACCAACACTTAACACCTACTACAAAAGACTAAGACTCTACCTTCAGGTAACTTATAATTCAGTAGAGGAAGAGGGACAAATAAACACAAAATCAAATAATTTCAGATAGCAATAAAAATGCAGCATAAAGAAAACTCAGTCGTGTGAAGGTGGTTAGGTAAGCAGTTGGATGGGGTGTTCAGGAAAGAGTGTCAGGAAGAAGTCAGCCTGTGACTCTGGGCAACTTCCTGGCAAGCTTGATAGCAAGTGCAAAGGTCCTGAGGCAGCGAGAGCTGTGGCAACTTTAAAGAACAACAACAAAATCCAGACAGAAGAGCACGAGTGAGGGAGAGTGTAGCACCCTTGTGTGTGAGGCACTGTGCGGACCTGGACTTCGTTTTGATTCATGATTTTAAAAGATGCTCCCAGCTGCTGGGTAGAATGAGACTGCAGGAGGGAAACACAGACAGGAAGGCTTTTCAATAATCCAGGCAGCCAGGCATGATGGTAAGCACCTGCAAGCCCAGCATATGGGAGTTTCGTAGAAAGACCCTGTCTCAAAAAAAAAAAAAAAACACCTCACCTCAATCATCACCATCCATACATGAGATGCAGTGGCCAGGAGCCGCGCGGCACAGGGCAGGGGCTGCACAGTCTAGACTGCCCTGGGCGTGGGGTTCGAGGAGCCTCTGGCTGGTCTCCCGCAGTATTTACAGTGCTTAGCGCACGGCATCACCAGTGAGGGTGACGGGCGCCTCTGCCACTCCCGGGTGGCTGCCCCTCTCCTTCCAGCACTGGCCCCAGACTTCAGGCAAAACCCTGTCCGGCGTTTGATCCCGGCGGCCCGAGGCGGGGAGATCAGCATCGCCTGCCAGCCGCGGGCGGCGCCCAAGGCCACAGTGCTCTGGAGCAAAGGCACCGAGATTCTGGTCAACAGCAGCAGGTGCCGCTCGCCCCTCCCGGCCGCCCCTGCCCCTCTTCCTCATCTCCTTCCGCCATGGAGACAGTCCCCAGGCTAGCCAGATCTGCTTGGTCCTTGCTGCAGAGTGACAGTAACTCCAGATGGCACCTTGATTATAAGGAACATCAGCCGCTCGGACGAAGGCAAATACACCTGCTTTGCCGAGAACTTCATGGGCAAGGCCAACAGCACCGGGGTCCTGTCTGTGCGTGGTAAGGGCCGGGGCCTCAGCAGGCAGGCGCCACCTCCCCACCATCCTGCTCTGGCTCTGGGTTACCCCGACCCAGGATCACTGGAACCATGGCTCTGCCCTTCCTGGGTCTGGCTCTGGCTCTGGCTGCTGCCTGCTCACACGGATGTTGAGGGTCGGGACACTGTTGGTCACAATGCTCTGCCTGTACCTGCAGTGCAGGGCCGAGCCTCTTGTCCTACTATGTACCCCTGCCTGGGCTTTCTCCTCCCTCACCCTCGGCCATCAGGGGCCTTGATCTTATTTTTTCTTTTTTCTTTTTCTTTCTTTTCTTTCTTTCTTTCTTTCTTTCTTTCTTTCTTTCTTTCTTTCTTTCTTTCTTTCTTTAACTTTTTGCAGATGCAACCAAGATCACCTTGGCCCCCTCCAGTGCCGACATCAACCTGGGAGACAACCTAACTCTACAGTGCCACGCCTCCCACGACCCCACCATGGACCTCACCTTCACCTGGACCCTGGATGACTTCCCCATCGACTTTGATAAGCCTGGGGGGCATTATCGGAGGGCCAGTGTGGTGAGGCCCCTCCCTCCTTCCAGACAGACAGGGGACACCCTGTGTCCCCAGCCATGCAACCCAAGGCTTCTCCTCGGCAAGCTCACCCTTGGGCTAACGACCAGTCTTCCTGGACCCAACCAAAGACCACTCATTCAGGAGAGGACTAGGGACAAACTTAGGGTTCTGAGAGCAGGGAAGGCCTTCCCACTGCTGCCCTTGTCTCCCCAACTCTGGTACAAAGGATGGTATTGAATTTGGTGTCCCCAACTCCTCTGGAGCGCACCTTGTTGCTCAGTCCCAGGGGTACCAAATGGGAGCAACTGCTTCTTCCCACTAGCCAAATAGGAAAACTGAGATGGAAGGGGCCACAGACACCGAAGGCAGGAGGCTCCTGAGCTCTGCCCTGCTCCACACCCTGACCTGCTGTCCCCCGCCCCCATGCAGAAGGAGACTGTGGGTGACCTGACCATCCTGAATGCCCAGCTGCGCCATGGAGGGAAGTACACATGCATGGCCCAGACGGTGGTAGACAGCGCATCCAAAGAGGCCACGGTGCTGGTCCGAGGTGACGTGGTGCCCCACCTCTCCCTCTCCCTGGCTCCCCGCTGTCCTGATTTGCTCACCTTGGCTGTGCTCCTCGCCCTGAAAGCAGTGGGGAAGGCTTCCGACAGAGACCCTCTGAGCTGGACACAGCCACCTCATTGCACCTGTGTGGTCTTTGCAGGCCTTAAGGGTCTGGCATATTTTCTTTCAAAGTCAAATTTAAAGAAAAAACACAATTCACCCAAGTCGGGCATGTTAGTGCACACTTGCAATCCCAGCATTGTGGGAGGCTGAGGTGGGAGAATTGCCCATCCATACCTGGCCTAGGTGACTTAGTGAGGCCGTGTCTCATAATAAAAAAAACTTAAGAACCCAGGGATGTAGCTTAGTGCAAAGAACCTTAGTTCAGTCCTCTGGGTTCAGTACTGAAGAAAAAATCCACCCTTAAACATCCCAAGACATTACTTTGCCAAGCTCAGTTTTCAAGCTTCAGGTTGGAAGAGCTCTACTGCCCACCTCCCTGTAAGGGCGGCCACCGTGAGCGCCCCCAGCCCGGGACTCATAGCTCCCACCACGCCCCACTGTGATCACCCTCCTACCGGGTGTGTTTGCCGCGCCCTCTGTTGCCCTATTTTGGTACTGCACCAGCCCACGCTAAGCCAGAATCAAATTGATTTTTTTTTTTTTTTTTTTTTTTTTTTAGTAATTTTATTGAGAAACAAATATCAATGAGACAAGTTTCACAACCAATTACTGGCACATTTTCAATAATTAATACTTTGCATATTGTCTTAGTGGTTATTCATTGTACAAGATGCAGACATGATATCCTGTCCCAAACCCTATTATAACAAACCTCTCTATTCAGTGACTTAAGAGAATGGAGCTGTATATCTATCCTATTTTGAGTATACAGATACAAAAGCGTCGTTATTTCTATCCCACTTTTTTGGTTAGTTTTATCAGAGATGGGCATTCCACTGTCATTTAAATATTGTAGGTGCTTGAATTCAGCAGAATCTCCCTATATAGTCCAGTAGTCCATAATAGTAGTGGGTTTTCCGTAACACTGGTAATGTCCAAAGTTGTTGACTTGAGCTTTTTACAGCTCAGCATATTAATGTAGCTTTACTTTTTATACTTTGTTTTCATTCTTTTCTGCTAGATGGTTAAGACCAAGAAAAAGCAAAACATATATAACAAGAAATGTAACTTTTGTATCTGATGTCAGTCAAATCCCCTCAAGGACACTCACAGAGAATCTACAAACTGCGGTAAAGGGTTTCAAAATCAAATTGAAAGGGGCACCCTTCTGACCCCCTGTGCTCTGCCTCCTGGTACAGGTCCACCAGGTCCACCCGGAGGAGTGGTGGTGAGGGACATCGGCGACACTACTGTCCAGCTTAGCTGGAGCCGTGGCTTTGACAATCACAGCCCCATTGCCAAGTACACCCTACAAGCGCGCACCTCACCTGCGGGCAAGTGGAAGCAGGTCCGGACTAGTAAGTCGAGGCCTCGCCTCTCATAACTGCGAGGGCCAAGTCAGGGCCCGGGCGGGGCCTGCAGGGAAACGCAGCTGGAGCAGTGCCCGCTCCGTGCCTCGGAGACCTGAAAGGGGGTGATAGTCCCTTTCAAGGGATCAGTTTCTCAGTCATTCCTGAAAGAGGTGCTGAGTGTTCAGTGCTCGGGCCACTCCACAACAAAGGCTGGGTACCGAGAGGGGTTTCCAGCAGTGCCTGCCAGCTCGGAGCAGAAGAATAAACGCACGCTGCCCTGCGATTCCCCGGTGCCTTACAGATCCGGCCAACATCGAGGGCAATGCCGAGACCGCCCAGGTGCTGGGCCTTACGCCCTGGATGGACTATGAGTTCCGGGTCTTAGCCAGCAACATCCTGGGTACCGGCGAGCCCAGTGGGCCCTCCAGCAGAATCAGGACCAAGGAAGCAGGTCAGGAGTCTGAGGGTCTGTACAGAGCTCTTAGCAGGACAGAGACCCTGATCCCCAGATAGGGAACCCCCAGGGAGCAACCCAGATTTCCGGTCTTAGAACAATGGGGAAAGGGCACACAGTTGGGCTGCCTGGGGCAAATCCCTCATTTAAAAATGGAGCCAACCTGACATCTGGTATGAATCTAGCGTTTTTTAAATTTAACTCTTAAAATGGGAAAACCAAAATTTAGAAAAGGGAAGGGTCACACTGGCAGAGCTTAGACTTGAACTCAGGACCCTAGGAGGTAGGGAGGTGTCCTCCTAGACAAACACATGCAGCAGAAATCAGATACTTAGAAGGGGTGTGTGCGCACGCTGGCGATGTGCAAGGGGCTGGGGGAGCCCCGGAGTCTCCACACCCTTGTTTAGACAACTTCTTTGGAGTAGGAAGAAGGAATAATTAGGAAAGGCATGTGGGCGTCCGAACCCGAGTGGGCCAGTAGGCAGGGGTGTAAAATAGGAGGGGCAGGCACAAACCATGAGAGCTGCCCCCACAACCCCAGAGCCCAGAGCAGGACCCTGCTGCCTCCTACACCAGCCCAGTCCTCAGCGTAGACCTGTCCGAGAAGCGCCCTTCTCGCCACCCTTTGACTCATTCCCCAGGCTCCAGCTGGTTTTCCAGGCTCTTTCTAGAGTCACTGGACAATTTAAAACTCATCCCACTCCTAAGTAGAGCATTCGGGACAGGGCACCTTCCTTGACCTTGAGCTCTGTGGAGATGAAGAGCTTTATCCTAGCATCCCAGGAGTTGTTGAGCCTAAAGATAATTATGCTCCACAGGAACCACACTAGGATTTAAAATCACTGCACATCAACTGTATGAGCACAGGCAAGGCCACGAAGGATCCCCCTCGCAGGATCAAATGGCGTTGAGCTTAGGTGCCCCTCGTGAAGTACAAGTCCTAACGATGTCACCTCCAGGAGAGTGACGCTTCCGCAGGAATATTTAGAGCCCCAGTCAAGTTACTCCCTGCCAGCCTGCAGGGACTGAAAAGCACACCTTTGTTTTAGTACAGGAATACAAAAGAGCAAATGTAGAATTATTTAATTAGAAAATGAAATCTTCCACAAAAGAAAAATAATAAAACACCCAAAACAAATGGGATTATTGTTTTCTCATGTGGTTGGATTTTTGAACCCATTCCACTACAATTCTGGGCAATTTATTCCCCTTCATTTAAAGCTGGAGTTGGTTTCTGTGTTTTAGTTTAGGCCGAACAAGCATCATTATGCAGCACCTACTGCGTGCTTGCTGTTCTCTGGGTCAGTTTAAGTCTCATCATAGCCTTTTAGAGAAACGTTATCTTCATCTTAAGGGGGAGAGAAGCAGAGACGCAGAGAGGTTGTTACTCAGCCAAGGAGACACAGCTAGGAAGTGGCAGGGATGGGATTTGATCCCAGGTCTGTCTGACCCCAGGGCCTATGCAAAACCAGGGCACACCTGAAAGGTACCTCATCCTGGGAGGCTCTGCAGCCACAGGCTCGGGGCTTTTGCTGCCCATTAACAAGCCATATCTATGTCCCTTGGCCCCTGACAGTCCCTTCGGTGGCACCCTCAGGACTCAGCGGAGGAGGTGGAGCCCCTGGAGAGCTCATCATCAACTGGACCGTAAGCCAGCAGGGACAGAAGCAGAATGTGCCTTCACTTTACAGGGGACAAGCCTCGTCCCCTCCTTCTCCTCCCTGCTTGACTCATGCCCCATTTGAGCACTGTGCAGAAAGGACCATGAGGCTCTCACTGAAAGGCTACCAACTCCCCCTTCCCCTTTCTGTTGCTGCCCCTCTCCCAAATCCATTGCAGGCTAAGCTAAAACCACAACAGGCACAGGCATCCTGGGGCTGCCCCACTTGGTGAAGGTTGGGTGGAGCCAGAGGATGGGCAGGGAAAGCACCCGCGACCCCTCGCCCATGCCACGCTCTTGCCCTCAGCCCATGTCACGGGAGTACCAGAACGGAGATGGCTTCGGCTACCTGCTGTCCTTCCGCAGGCAGGGCAGCAGCAGCTGGCAGACCGCCCGAGTGCCTGGCGCCGATGCCCAGTACTTCGTCTACAGCAACGAGAGCATCCGGCCCTACACGCCCTTCGAGGTCAAGATCCGCAGCTACAACCAGCGTGGGGATGGGCCTGAGAGCCTCATGGCAATCGTGTACTCTGCTGAGGAAGGTGGGCACTCTGGCCGCCTTTGTGCCCAGTCGCCTGTCTGCAGAGGTGGAGGGCGGTGCTACAAGTGCCCCAGCTCTATGCAGGAACAGCAGGGGCCTCACTTCTGGCCCCAGCTACCTTGTCTCCCCTTGAGGCTCACCCCCAAGACCCTAAGCAAATGCAATCCTGGCTCAGGCACTGCGCTATAAGACACAGGGCTTCCCCTGGAAATTCAAACCCATTCTGTATCGGTCCCCAGAGCCAAGGGTGGCCCCTGCCAAGGTCTGGGCCAAGGGGGTCTCATCCTCAGAGATGAACGTGACCTGGGAACCTGTGAAGCAGGACGTGAATGGGATCCTCCTGGGCTACGAGGTGAGCACAAGCTGGGCCTGGGCGTCCCTCCAGGAGTCACCCAGGCACTGAGATGGCACAATGGGCCCTGTCTCTGAAGCTCTATGGAAGAAAATGTCAGTAGGACTCCCTGACTGACACCCCCAGGAGGACAGACATGTAGACAGCCTAGCATGAGCCAGTGCTGGGAGTTGGGGGACCTGGGCAGAAGGAGCGCCCTGGGAAGGGGCACCACTGCTTGTTGCATGCCAGAGCCCAACCAGTCTGTCATCCAGGCTGCATGGGGCACAGCGTGACCCTGTGTACCCAGTGACCAGCATGTCCCCAGAGAACTCTCGGCCTGCTCCCAACTAGAGTTGTAAGGGATCCAGGGCAGGCAAGGAGGAAAACAAGGAGTGTCCTTGCCTGAGCGAGGTCCTGTGGTTTGGGCCTCCAAGCTAGGGTGTAGATTCCCAGCAGTAGAATCAGCTCAGACTTTAGACAGCTCAGGCAGCCACAAGGAGATAATTCCAAACTCTGCCTTGGTTTCAAAGAGCTCTTAGTATTACAACTACTATTACAAAAGGTTTGCATTTCTTGCTCAGTCATTAGCAGCTTACTAGGGGCCCAGGGCGCTGTTCTACAAGCACAAATATGCATTTCATCTCCCTAGCGGAATCCCCTGCATCACCACTCTGATTAGAGCGTGGACTGGGCTGAAGCAGGACACACTAGGCTGAGCCTGCGTCCAACCCTGCTCACCCACCCACCTGCCCATGCCTGGAGCAGTACTGTGAGCCTGGGCACCCTGCTGGGCTGCCAGTCCTGGGGACTCACACCCATGTGGCTGTCCAGGTGGCTGTCATGATCTAGCATCCAGGTTCTGAGACCCAGGCCAGAGCCACAGCACTCTTATTGGAGAGGAACTGGATGGGGTTGGGGGCCGGGCAGCCCCGGAACCTGGCCTTGGCACTGGCCCTAGGGCACCCCTGACCCTCTCAGATCCGCTACTGGAAAGCTGGAGACAAAGAGGCAGCTGCTGACCGAGTGAGGACAGCAGGGCTAGAGACCATTGCGTGTGTCACCGGCCTGCACGCCAACACCAAGTACCACGTGACTGTGCGGGCCTACAACCGGGCAGGCACGGGGCCTGCCAGCCCTTCCACCAATGCAACAACCATGAAGCCCCGTGAGTCTGTGTGCAAGGGGTGAGGAGGGGTAGGACTGGGGTCTCCAGAATTCCCCTGGGTCAGGGACCAGACACATGCTGTAGCCTACTAGGTCTGGGCTGGGCAAAAGCAAGGCTATGAGTCCACTGAGAAAAAGGGGGACAGAATTCACAGCCCCTCTCTCCTCCAACCCTGGGTTTTTATGGGCTTTGTTTCTTAGTGGCAACAGAATGTCCTGGGTGATGCAGCTAAAGGCAGATGCTCAAGAAGAGCTGGCTAAGGGGAGGGGAGCGCAAGGAATGGTGTGAAAGTCTTTTCAACTCTCCCCCACTGCAGCCCCTCAACGACCTCCCAGCAACATCTCTTGGACTTTCTCAAGCTCCAGTCTTAGCATCCAGTGGGACCCTGTGGTCGCTCTGCGAAATGAGTCTGCCGTCACTGGCTACAAGGTGAGGAACGTGTGGAGCCGTGATGGTATCTAAGTGAGCCAAGGCGAAGACTGCCTGTAGCAGAAGCTATGACAGTGGGCAGATGAGGTGTGTCTTCATTTTCTCAATGCTGGGACAACATACCCGACACCCAAAATTAAAGGGGGAAAGGTTTAATTAGCTCATAGTTTACTGTAGAGGTTTCAGTCCACAATCTGCTGGCTCCAAGGCAAGGTTGCATGGCAGAAGAGTGACTGTCCATGGCCAAAAGCAACAAGAGGAAGGGAGAAGAGGGGACAAGCCTCTTTCCCTATTGCATGCAGCCCACCCTCCCTAGGGTGGGTGTAAGCACTCACACCCTTAATCCCAGCACTGGACCATGAATCAGTCACAAACTCTAGCCACCTCTGAAAAGCCCACCTCCCATGACTGCATGAGGCTTTGGGGGAACACTGAGACACAAGCCATAACAGGGTCTCCGTGGAAAGATGAGATGGGGTGAGAGGGCGCCAACGGGCTGGAGCAAGTTTCCAGCCTGAAGAGTCTGTAAAACTGAAGGAAAGGTGGCAGGCAGGACCTCAAAGGCCCAAACTTTGTGGGCTCCTCCCTGCTTTAAAGAACCTCTTTCCACAGATGCTGTACCAGAATGACTTACACCCGACTCCCACGCTGCACCTTACCAGCAAGAACTGGATAGAAATCCCCATGCTGGAAGACATTGGCCATGCCCTGGTACAGATTCGGACCACAGGGCCTGGAGGGGACGGGATCCCGGCAGAAGTCCACATCGTGAGGAATGGAGGTGTTAACTCTTTCCCAGCCTTATCCCCCAGGGGTATGATGGGCCAACCAGACCACCCAAACCAATTCCAGCCCCAATTCCAAAGGGAAAAGAGAAGGCAGGAACCAAAGTAGTGTGCAGACCCAGACTCGCCCATCCCCCTGCCCTTTGCCCTTCGTTTCTGTGGGCCAGCGAAGTGAGGCCAGCTCTTCAATCAGGTCTAGTGGGAGGCTGAAGACCAGGCAAGACCCTAGCCAATGCCGCAGGCATAGAGCTGAGGAGGCCACCGCACTCCCAGGCCGGCACATGGTCTCCAGTCTTAGGAAAGGTCTGGCTCCTGTCCTGAGGGCAGGGCTGGGGTGGCCCAGGCTGCACTGACTCAGCCCCACATTCCTACTGCTGGTTTCAGGCACAAGCATGATGGTGGAGAATGCAGCAGGCCACCTGGCCCCACATCCCGGCGCCATACTGTCCCACTCTGCGGTGATGCTCATCCTCATAGGCTACCTGCAGCTCTGATCTCAGAGCCCCTCCCTCCGCAGCACAGCCAGACGCCCACCTCCCATGGACACAGCCAGCTGGCCCTGGCCCCTTCCTGATGCCAAGATGGCCCGACGCTGTGCTGAGAGGGATTGGCTTGAAATGTCTGCTTTAAATTGTACCCTTCTGTTAGAAGCAGGATATTTTGTATTCTGCCACAGGACAGAACCACGCAAGGATATCTTCTTTAAATTGAGGTACTGGGCAGTGGCTTCCATGATCATGCTGAGCCCAATGCCTGGGCCCCTGGGGGTCCTGGATTGAAGGAACAGGCCTGTTGGGCAAAGGGGTTTTATCATGCATCTTCAAAGCAGCAAAGACGGCATTCTGAGACCACATGTGGCTCTGCTACCTGAAGGTAGAGTCCTGGGCCCAGCAGGACACCAGGCAGGAACAGGTTAAAGAAGTAGGATGACACATAAACACCAACCTCCCTCAACTGAGGAGAGGGAAAACCCTGGGACCATAGCTTCCTCTCCCCCAAGGAGTGGCATGATGGGACCTGGCACTGTCCTCCATGACTCCTAGCACCCCTGCCTGCCCTGGTGGCTGAGATCCAGCACCTTGGTGCCCAGCGCCAGGAGCACAGGCTCCTCCAGAGTGAAGGAATGAGACTCCAGGCTGCTGCAGGTGAGAGCTGCAAAGTGTTGAGAGGCTGGGGCCTCTGGTAGAAAGGGGCACCTGACTAGGCCCAAGGCAAAGTCACTGTCCAGGTGACACTGCCCTCCCAGCCAACACTGCCAACCCAACCCTGTCACCCCAAGGGTGACAGAGCCACTTCAGGTGGCTGGGTGACTAAAGGGCTTGTCTTGGGGAACCCCCTCCCACTAAGACCCATGCTGCACAGCCCCCTCCTTTCTCCAGCTCTGCCTCCACCTCCCTAACCTGCAGACCCAGCCAATGGCCACCACACAACATGCGCTCTGTCCTTCCTTGTCCTGACTTGGGAGGCTTTTGAGAAGGCAAGAAAGAACAACACAGCCCTGCCTACTCCCAGGAATTCCTAGAACCACTGGGTGAGACCCATTCCTCAAACTTCTTGGACCACTCTTCCACATTCCCAGAAGAAGCAGAGATTAATAAAGGGACAGCCTGCCTTGCTCACGGTGTACTGCCATTCGCAGAGCACTAGGGGCTGGAAGAGGCCTGAGAGCTCAATTGGTCACAGCCTGTACTTCACAGATGACAAAATAGAGGGCCCATGAGGGTTAGGGACTCCGCCTCATCTGGCCCTAGAAGAATGGAGTCTCCTACCTGCCAGTCTGTGACTGTGTGCCTGCAGAGGGAGGAGGCAGTGCTGTTTGGCCTTGGCCTGGCTGGGAAGGTAGCTGAAGCCACAGGGGCATGAGCGTTCTCCTTGAGGGTTCAGCTTGGTGACCTGGGGCATCAGCCTGGCCAGGCCCAGCTCCCAGTGCAGGCGGGCTCTTGGAGACTCCCAGGTCCACTTTGCCTTCTAAGCCTGGCTTCTGGGAACTCAATGTGCTGCACTGACTTGAAGCCTGGATCCCCCAGGATCTCTTGCTGCAGAGAGGCCAAAGCAAGGACAAAGTTCCCAGATGGAGGCCGCAGTGGCAGAACCAGAATCCCCAAAGCCTGCATTGTGACAGCAGGCTACTAATGATCAGGAGCAACAGAACGGGCATCTGCCCCTAGAGCACCCTGAGCCTGTGTCCTGTAGTTTACAGTTAGAGTTCTATTTTGTTATGGTTTTTAAACTTCTAAGTCCTGCTCTATTTTCTCGGGCAGGTTTATGTTGATGTTCACCTGCTACGATTTTGTAAAAATGTAAGCTCACACCCCTCCTCTCCTCCCAAGCCCACCCACCCTGGGCCCCCTCACCTGTTCCCCCTACACACGAGGGCGCAGGGGCTCAGCTCCTGGCCATTCTCCCTTGCAGAGACTCCAGATGGCCCAGCAGTTCTCTGTCCCCTGCTGGCTGGGATCTGACCTGTGTCCAACTGTCTATCGGAAAGGGGACAGTGAAAGCAAGCAAGCTTCTAAGCTTTGTCTATTTTCTCCTCACTCCTCAGCTTTGGCAGGGAACAGGGGGCAGGTGTCTAGTTGCCGGACTGCAGGACGATCTGGCCTGGCACAGGAACAGTGCTTGCTTGAAGAAACACAAATACTTCCTCCTAATGAGGCCCGTGAGGAAGAGGAAGGCAGATCTGCTGGGAGACCTAGGGGACATATTTAACCAGGAAACTGACCTTGGTACAGGTAGAATTTGTTTGGGATGTAGAACTATACTAAAGGCAATGATCCTGCAGCCTGGGACTCCAGACAGGTTTGATAAGATAGCAGCTGACCTGAGGATATGTGCTTGCAAAACCCTCTTACCTGGGTGGCTTGGACATGTGTCTGCTTGGAAGAGTGGACCAGACTATGCAGCTTCTTAGTTCCTTCCTGCCTGAGGGTCAGCTAATTTGTCTTCTCTGTTGAGGTGGGCTGAGGGAGCTCAGGGGGGTTCAGTCCCCGTCTCCAGAGTCATAACTCAGTTCCAGATTCTCCATACCAAGCCCAGAGGTGACAAGGGAGCCAACCACAAACAAGTATTCTGCTCGACAGCTTAGTGGCCAGTGAGTGCCTGGAAGATGGGACAACCAGCGAACAGACAGTGTTTGTTCAGGGGCACATACTGGGGCTGGCTTCAGGCTTGGCTATTGGGTTAGGGCAAGGCAGCTCTCTCCAGGATTCTCCAGGCCTTCAATGTCCTACTTTCATTCAGGGCAGGTCTAACACAGATGGTATCAGTTAAGTGGCAGGCCATTGGGACGGGTGGGGCTATCTTCTTCCTTATCTGATAAAGTAACAACAGGAGAGACTGGAATTAGATATCAGGGAAAGCTTCTGCAGTGAGACCCTGGAATCTAGGGAACTTTAGGAATTTTTGAGCTTGATTGAGGGGTCTAGGCCACATGAAGTTGTGACGTGAGGGGGTGGGAGAGGCCTGAAGTTCTTTCTTCCAGAGCTAAGATTCTTAGAATCAAGAGCTGAACACTGGAGATTTTGCAAAGGCCATCTGCTGTGGTCCCTGCAGCTTTGAGGAAGCCATAAAGGGGGAAGGCTCACCCCAGGGATTGTGGTTCCCACCCAGTGCCTTCCCCAGTGGGCACTGCCCCTGGGCAGCCTCCAGAGCCATCCACCTGCACTCAGGGCAGAGCCCACAAGGTGGCTGAGGATGTTTGATTTCCCTCATCTCTTTCCTCTGTCAAACTGAGACTGCCAGTGGGATTCCTGTGTGTCAGAGGGGACAGCAGTATCCTTACACCTGTGTCACCGGCATCACTGGCACAGGTCGTGGTGCTATTGACCTTCCTCAGACTAAACATGGGTGAAAGTGAAGGGCATTTCTCGAAGGGCCTCCGACAGGCATCTGGTGGCGTGGGGTGGCCCATGGACTTTCACATAAGCTTTGGGAAGGCAGGGCATAAGGGACAACCAAAAAGGAACAAAAAGGGACAGCTGGCTCCGCCCAGAGCCCCAGAGGCCTAAGACATTTTGTGCCCTTAGATGGGATGGATACATCCTGTCACAGCCCCTGATGCCAATTCATTGTGCATGCTGGGACCTGCAGAGCTCAGGGCATAGCAAATGCTAGGCTTTTGCTGGACCATGGTGTGAAGGATTCTGTTCAAAGGGAGCCACCCCACTGGCCCCCAAGCTTGCTCTTGTACTTCTTGTAATGGTAGCTATTTATTGACTCTGGTAGCAGGCAGTTCTTAAATAAAGATGGTTTCTCAACCCACCAAGGTGGCTGCCAGCAGCTGTTTTCTAACCCGTGCCACAGGGCTGCTCCTCATGCTGCTCTGTGACCCTCTACCTAATGCTTTCCCCCTTCACGTGGCCCCCTCAGGAAGTTACAGCATACTCCATATTGCTACACTTATCCTGGGGTGGGGGGTTCACTAGGCCAGCCGACCAGGCAGGTCACGGGGCACAGCATCCATTCTGCTAGACCGGGCAGGATCTACCTAATGCAGTGGTAGCAAACAATTCTTGAGTCAGAACTGCTTCAAGGTTCCCTGATTTTTAAGACATGTGAGGTGCTGACTTAATGGTCCCAGAGGAAGGTGGTCTCCCCACAGAGAGACCAATGACCCCCGGTTGGTGAGACTGTCTCCTGCCTCTGCTTCCAAAGCCCTGAAATTACTGCTCAGTTCCCAGCCTCAACATTGTCACACACACCACCATTCATCAGGCTTCTGCACCAGGTGAAACATGCGCAGGCATGAACTCAGGCAGTCCTGGACTTGATGTTTTCAGTGCAAAGTGGAGGGGGCTCCAGGCTGGGACCCACAGGATTTCTGAGAAAGGAAAATGGAGGTGAGTGGAGTCTCCATGCAATCCTGAGTGTCCTGCCCATGACATGTTCAGCATGAGAAGGGGCCCTGACAGGGCAGGGTCATCCTTGCACCTGGCAACCAGAGGGCATGTTGGAAATACCAGCACTGTGTAACCCAAACTCTAGTCCAGTCAGCTTCGCAGAAGCAGAGTATATGCACAGAACTCCATGAATTGAGCTGGACTTTGTTTCTTTACTAACATATCTGGAGGTCTTTTGTTCTATTGCCTGTTCAAAGCCTTCACATCTTGAATAAAAGTTCAAGAACTTCAACCAACGTTGGGAGAAGTAAACATAATGTAAATGGTCTGTCTGTCTGTTAAAAATAAAAGGCTGGGGAAATAGATCAGTGGAATAAGCATCTGCCTGGCAAGCACAAGGTCCTGTGTTCAATCCCTAGTACCAAAAAAAAGGTGAAGGCAACATATGGACCTTTTTTCCATTTTGGATCAAAATTAAATCAAGCTTGACAGGGTGATACACACCTGTAGTCCCAGCACTCAGGGAAGCTGAAGCAAGAGGATCACAAGTTTAAGCCCAGCCTAGGCAATGCACCTATTTAGCTTGTCAATCAATCAATGAAAAATGGCACTGGGAATTTAGCTTAGTGTGAAGGCTCTGGGGTGCTGTAGTAAGCTTTTTTATTTTTTTCCGGTTTTTGAGACATGGTCTCGCTAGGCAGTTCAGCCTGGCCTTGTGCCCACTTTGGAACCTGGCTGGTCTTGAACTAGTAACTCTTTCTGCCTCAACCTCCTGAGTGCTGGGATTGTAGGCATGTGCCACTCACGTAAGTGACAAGCTTTAAAAGTTTGAAAATAAAAGTTTGAAAACTGGGGAAGCTAGATATAAGCTCTATGTAAGATTGAGAACTGCTCACCTTTTAGGTACTGTCATGTAGAACATTCTCATTAGGATATACGTATGTGACAGGAGGCTGAGTCAGGAGTCCAAGTTCAAGCCCAGCCTGCGAAACTTAGGAGACCTTGTCTCAAAATCAACCAACAACAAAAAGTAAATAAAAAGGTCTGAGGATTTCACTTAGTACAAAAGGCCTTCAGTTCAACCCCTGGCACTGGAAAAAAAAAGAATAAAAGATCACAATGTATGTGACAACTTTCAATGGTACAGTAAAATCAGTATGTATTTAGAAAGATAATTGAACAAATACAAAGGAATCTAAGCAGTGAGTCTATGGGTGGTCGTCAGACCTTTCAATTTCTTTCTGGATTTGAAAAATTTTAAAGTTAAAAGTAAACAACAGAATCCCTTTACCCACAGTGAAACAGGGTTGGGGCTCAGGCATCTGTTTTTCAACAAGTCACCCAGGTGATTTGGACACAAGAGCTGGAGAACAGGACTGCTGGTCTTTGGCTTCTGCTATCACTCCTGAGCTGTACAGGTGAGGGGAGACACTGCTACTCCGCGGCAGAACAGCACTGCCAGTGGCCAAGAACTCTCCCCTGTGGTTCCATGAGCCAACTATTGCAAACACAATCTGAATGGTCGGCCACCAAGGGTCTTAAGACCGGACTGCCCTCAGAGAAGTGAAGGAACTAGTGCTCCCTGGGGGCTCTGGCTTCTGTAAGAAGCCAATGCACAAGGACCTCTCCAAGCACTGAAAGGGTGAAAAGCAAAGAGGCAGGAGCAAGCCAGTGGGCTGTTTCACGATCGGGTGAAGGATCTTGTGTTTCACCAGGAAATTCAATTTAACAAGGAATACACCTGGGGAGGAGAGGCAGGGCAAACCATTCACATTCAGTGACTGGCTATTACATACCTGAGTTAGGTGTCACTGTAACAGCCTCTGTCACATACAGGCACATGCCCCACACAGAGCAGACAATCTGCCCAATCTCTAGTCTAAGAAACTCAAGGAAAATAAAAGCCAGACTGGTTATAGGCCAACGTAAACCAATACAAGAAATTTTAAGATAAAGAGCAAGAAAGGGAAAAGGTTAGGTTTCTATATAGCTATTGTGTGTTATTTTTATTGAAGAGGGAAAAATGCGTTCTCGCTAGAAAAGCTATCATTACACCCTCCTACATTGAATGCACTGCCCAGAAGAGGGAAAGAGAAGTGGGAGGACACAAGTTTTAAAGGGCAGGAGATGAATGTAAGCTTGGAGGCTAGCTCTCTTTCCAGGAGCTGGGGCAATGCTGGAGCACCCAGCAGCAGGGAAATCAGGAAGAGATCTCCATCCAGGACAACAGGAAGCTGGAGGCTAGTGCCAGGGCTACCAAGAAGCTGTTCCTCCCTCACCCTCATGCAGTCTTTTGACCAACCCACTATTAGCCAGCCAGAACACTCCCTAAGAAGCTAGCTTGGCTTCCTGGGCCACTGGTACCTCAGGAATCCCAAGGATTTCACACCCTTGAGCCTGTCGCTGCTGTAGGTCTCCCTCAGCACCCTGCAGAGGGTGGTGCTCACCACCATGCCACCCATCACTCCACCTATAATTCCTATGCCCAACGCTGACGCCACCTTCTTTTGCCACTTGGGGCGGTGAGGCTTGGAATAGTTGTCCAGATTAACTTCCAAGCCCTCCTCTACTAACTTCTGCTCCTCAGTAAGGGACTGCTGGAAATTCAGGTTCACCAGCTTCGGAGGAAGTACCCTCAGCCCAAAGTAGAGCCTCTTGACCAGTCTCAAGTTTTTGAGCAGCTGCACATCACAACGATATGTCCCAGAGTCATACTCCTGAGCAGGTCTGAATTTCACCAGATGGGAGTTGGCTCGGAAGGGTCTGAAGACTTCATCATTTGTCGAGATGATACCCCGAGCAAGTCTCCAGGTGAAGCGGAATGCTTCCTTCCCAACCTCTAAGATGTCTGAGCTGAGACAGCTAAGCTCAAACTCTTCTCCGACGAGAACAGTGAAATGGAGCATTCCACAGATCCAATTGGTCAGACACTCCAAGCGCTGGGACATACACTTTCTCCTCACCCCATCGGGGCCTACCTCACAGACAGTTTCCTCCTTATAGCCAAGGCCACAGGTAACAGTACAGCTTGTGGCATTGACAATAACTTTCCCTACAGCTTTTTGCAGCTCCTTAGGGATGGCCAGTGTTTTAGGTGAAGTTGTGGCCAAAGGTAGGTAGACAGAAAACACCAGGCTCCCAACGATCCAGCTCATGGCTGAGGTCCTCCTGGCTGATGGGCACTCCAGCACCGTGGCCAGCCCCCTCCAGTATTCCAGGTCAGTCCTCCGGTATCCAGGCTTACCTCCTTCAATATTGAGAGAAGCACCGTCAATAAAATAATGCTACCAAGTACACTTAAGTTCTTCTTCCCAAGGAAGTTCTAGCTCTTATTCACAGGTAAGGCTCCAAGGCAGAAAAAACAAAAGGCAGAAAGCAAAAAGAATCCATTATTGATTTACTATTTACAGGCTTTTCATAGCCTCTTAATGAATTTAAAGTTACCTCTTGAGAAGACAAAGATGAAAAAACTTCAAAATTGGAACTGAATTTCCACATTAGCCCAAAAGTAAGGTGAAGGTACATGCTTCCTCACCTTTTTCCCTTCCATCCAAATTGTGAGATCTAAATGAGGGCTTCAAAATCCCAAGTTAAATGACCAAATAAGAAAAACACTGTAATCTAAAAAACAAAACCAGAGTGTAACTTCAATCAAATTCAATACCTTAACTGGTAATGTTCCTAAGCCTTCTATAAAAATGATTAATTCTAGACTAGAAGGCAAGTGACTTCCTGGTTTTCTATTTCCTCCTTGCATCTTTTAGGACAGTCACCTTGAACATTAAGTGATACAGTGCACATGAAAACACTTCAAAAGCATCACTGTGTGTAAGGAATTTTAAAAAGCAGTGAAAACTGACCAACACAAGGGCCAAGACACCCGTTCCGATTAGCAAGAGGCTACATCAGAGGCAGTGCATCTCCTGTTGTAGACATTCTTTCTCAAGAAGGCCAAAGGCACCTGCTGGGTGGGAGGACTCAGCCTGAACCCTCTACCCTACAGAACACAGAAACCCATCTGCTTATTTATGTCAGTGAGGTTACTATGAAACAGCTGTGATGTCAAAGATGGGTTCTAAGTCACATGACACAGAATTAGTAAACAGACACTCCTTTTTGGCATTGGTTAAAATCAAACCAATAGACTTTGTGAAGCACCTTAATTTTTAGGAGACAATGAGTATTAAAGCTAATTTAATCTAGGGGAGAAAAAGACTAGTCTTTGCTGTTTTAAATGAAAGGTCCTACTGACAGACATTTTTATAACTTCTAGAATGCCCAGCACTAGAGTCTCTTTAATTACATAAATTTGTATTGAAGAATCTGAAGAGATCATTCCAGGATCTCACTACACAGCTCAGACTTGTAGTGATCCTGCTGTTTTCAGCCTCTCCAGAGCTGGGATTACAGGCATGTGCCACCACATTGACTCGGCTGCCGGCTCAGTCTGCCTGGGGGTGGGGCCAGCGCTGCATGCAAGACTGGGGATCGAACCTTAGTCCTGTGCAGGTACTTAGTCTGCTAAGCTATCTTGCCAACCCAACACCAACTTCTGATTCAAATCATTTATTTATAATCCTGTCTAGAGGCAGAAATCTAGACAGCTGACTGCCCCCATCCCTTCTAGCTCTGTATTCCCAGAAAGAAAGATCTAAGGTCAATCCAACAAGCTGCATTTTTCATGGCTGGTGAGCTCCAGAAGTAATCAGTGTTTACAAACAAACATCTACACCTGTTCTTTTAATAAACATCCGATTTTATTTACAAAGCATTAAAGCTTCAGCAAGAAATTCCCAAGGCCAAGTCTCATCTTGTATAAAACTACAGAACATTTAAAAAAACAAAATGGCGGCTGGGGAAATGAGAAAGGTTGAAAAAAAAAAAAAAAAGAATATACATATAATACACAAATTAAGAAATGAAGTGGACAGAAGGTTTTAGGAGCAGAAAAAATAACCCCAGAGCATAAATAACTATTAGAAGCTGCTGCCAGAGACAATCTGACAAGGCTTATGCTGATTTTCTCAGTAGCCAGTCGAGGAGCTGAGCACAGCATGAACATTCCAATGTACAGAGGAGAAACCAACTTCCCACACAGCAGTCAGAAAGAAACCCCATGCATCACAGCTGCACAACTGTGGTGTGCAGTGTGGAAAGATGGAGTAGGAATCATGTCTGCAAAACAGAAACACACCTAGGGAGCCATCTATCCACCTTAGCCACTGCTCTAAAGCACATGAAGTGCACCAAATGACTGCTTAGGGAAATAGCAATGGCAACTAAAAATGGAGAAAGTTATGCAACTGATGCTGGAAAAGCTCTTTCTCCAAATTCTCTCTCTGTCTGTGTGTGTGTGTGTGTGTGTGTGTGTGTGTGTGTGTGATGGAAGATGGACTGGGACAAAAAGGCTCTTACTGATGTGTTCTACTGTGATTTCTAGCCTACAATAAAAAAAGCAATCAACATGTTTGGCTACCTAAGGAGCATCCACCAACTACAGATTTCACAGCAAGCACAGCATTAAAACTCCCTTTTGAAAATACTGAGAAAATGATGACCCAAGATAAGCACTTTTGATCAGCTAAAAACTACCCAGAGAAGCTGCCTTTTCCACAGCTGGTTTCCTGCTCTGGATTTTCAGAATACTTGAAATACCTAATGTGCACATCCATCCAATCTGCTTCAATTTATTTAAAGAAAAGCAAAAAAAAAAAAAAAAAAAAAAAAAAAAAAAAAAAAAAGATAAAAGATAAGTAACCTTTCACAGAAAGGAAGTGACTGAAAATACAGTAAGACAAAAGAGCATGGACATAGGACAGAAAGCTGTAATGACTGATGGGGATAGGTCTCCACAGGCAATGATAAAAATTTTACCTTCATCTTTGATTCAAACTATGTTGTTCCTGCTTTGATTGTGGGGGTATTTTTGTCCTACAAGTTCCCCCAGTTCAATGAAAAAGAAATACACTGAGAAACACCTTGGTTTGTCTCCAACTCTAGAAGTCAGCACAGGCAAAGTAATAAAAACTGCTGATGATTTTTTGCTACAGTTGGATAAAACTAGTTATCTTCAAAAACCATGATTAATGGGACTGAATCAAAATTGGAAGAAAACATGCAATGCAAGGAAACACTCAAATCTCTTACAGTCCAGCTTGTTAAGCAAAATGCAGTATGACATGAAGAGGGGCCTTCTTATCTTCTTTCTCTGTATATTTGAAATCTTTCAAGTACTTTTTTTGCCCACTTTTGTATATAGCATGGGAATACAGGAGCTGTCTGGGAGAGGGTAAGTTTAAAAATCAAAGAAAGAGAATATGCAACACAAGTTTTCCTAGGACACTGGCAGCAAAATCTGAGATTAGAACAAGTCATTTGAGGACATGCATCAAAGAGAGAAGGCAAACAGGCGATAGGAAGTAACATGTCAAAATGACGCTGGGTGCAAGAGTTGGATGAGCAAAACACAAGTATCTTTTCTCTAGCAACACAACCAAGTGTTAAAGTATAAATGAGTCAAATCTTCTATTTGATGTCTTTACAAATCCTCATTCCTGAGAGCCTATTTGGACTTATGCTTGACAGGGAAGATCAGGGACATATGCATTTCTTCCATAATTCACTTCTTCATTCAACCATAAAATTCACTCCTACCTCCCGGGTGGGAGGCAGAGGGCTTTGTTTTAAATTAAAGTCAATCTCAAATGACTGACCACATTGTCCAGAGACTACCCGATGGCATGATGGGAAAGAACGAAGAGCTTCAGGCCTTCATAACAGTTCTGAGATTGCTCCTCCTGCTAAGAGATCAAACAAAAGAAGATTTCTTTTAACATCACCTTGGACCAGTGACTGCTAAGAACAGAAATGCAGACAGATCTGGGAGATATAACACAAACATAAACAGCCAAAAAATTCCTCCTTTTAAGTAGAAGTTCTAACCAACTCTAATTTCCACTTCAACAAATAATCCAAGTCCCAATCCTCACCACAATACTACTCTCAGATCTGCCCCTAAGGTTAGGGGAGAGAGGTGTTACAAAATGGTGACACATTTGCTAAACTTTTAACTATTCTTTAAGGTGTAAACTAAAAATGCTTAATCTAAAAAGTGCAACAAACAAAAGGAATGAAATTATAGGGTGCCAAGCCTTTTCATATATTATGCTAGTCCTAAATGATTAACTGAGCAAGAAACCCCTTCTAAATTTCTTAAATGCCTTTCATTCTAGAATCCCGATGAAGGTGAAATATTAATGAAAGTCACTGCCTACCTTTCTATATACCAACAACTGATCCATAAATAAAACCCTAAATAACAGAATCAAATAACCACTTCCCTGGTTATTCCATAGAAGCTGTTCAACCTCTGAGGGACATCCTTAAGTGAGCTGTTGTGGAATATTAACTAGGAAGTGTAAAAAGAGAACGAAGTGAGGAATATCCTGCTAGATGTCATCTGGAATGAAGAATAACATGCTGCTTCAACATAAAAGGGTGACAAAATAATTGTTCAAGTTATTAAAGAAAACTACCTCCTCACAAAATTGCTTTGAATCTGATTTTTTTAAAGTTTCACTACAAGGGCCAGCCAAATAGCTCAGCGGATTAAAGCACCTGCAAGCAGGCACAGGGGCCAGGGGCTCAATCCCCGGGCCTACCATGCCCCCCACCCTGCCGTGCTGAGATAGCAATTGAGACTGGGTGTGGTGGCATGTGCCTGTAATCCACAGGCTGTAGACAAGTGGATCACTATGAGTCCCATCTAGTAGTGAGACCCTGAATATCCTGTAGACCCTTCTCTAAAATACAAAAAAATAAAAATAAAAAAATTTCATTACAAATAGAATGGGCAATAAAAATATATTCACATTTTCCTGAGAACAGTCTAAAATTTGGGTAAGATACAAACTACCAAACACTACTTTGGTAAAAATCAAATTTGAACTTTTTATAGTTCAGCAAAGTTGAAAAAAATTACATTCACAGCCTGCTGTGCCGGCCCCGCCCCCAGGGCATGCTGAGGTGACTGAGACTGGGCATGGTGGTGTGTACCTGTAATCCCAGTGCTCAGGTGGCCGAAAACAGGATCACTACGAGTCTGGTCTGTATAGTGAGACCCTATACTAACTAAATACAATTTTTAAAAAAGAAAAAAAAAATTTAAAAAATCACACCTGGAATCTGTTTTTCAGATCATGCCTGTAGCGGGCCATACATTGTGTCAACTTGGCTGACTTGCCTGGGTAGTTCCACACCCTGGGCTATGGGGCATGGAGGGCCTGCCCAGAGTGACTCAGCACAAAAAGAGTATATAAAGGAGTTGAGGAGGGATTCGAGTTCTACTCCCTCGTGAACTTCAGTCTTCATTCACATCAGCTTAAACTTCTCCTGGTTTCCAATGAAGATTTTTTGGCCTCCGGCTTGGGCTTGGATTCTTCACCTCTCACCACAGACCTATCTGCTGACTGATCAAGACTTGCACAAAACATGGCAGTGAGCTTCAGACCTTGGACTGAATCCTTCAGTCTCGGGTGGGCAGACGCCCTCTGTATGCTTCCTCATCCCACTCTGCAGCAGACCATCATAAGCCAATCTTATAATTTCTTGTACATTTGTACATCTTGTGTTATATCTGTTCCTTGTATTGTATCTGTTCCTCTAGTAAAACCCTGACTAAAACAACACCCAACAGAAAACAACAGATTTCTTTTTTTTTTTTTTTTTTTTTTCTTTTTTTTGGTGGAACCGGGGATTGAACTCAGGCCCTTACGCTTGCCAGGGAAGTGCTCATTCCACTAAGCCATTTCCCCCGCCCCAAGATTTCTTGATTTGATTTTAAAAAAGAAAATCTTCAATTAAAAGAATACACTGAAGCCATTGGTCTCATTGTTTCTACAGGTATTCTGACCAATTTAATTTTAACACCTAAAAAATGAATACAACATTGCAATTTTGAGCCTAAATCCTGATGGGAAAAAATAGTTCAGTTATTTGTTTTTATTTTATTTTCTGAGACGGGGGTCTCACCATTACACAGCCCAGGCTTTTACCTTTACATAGTCCAAACTCACCATCCTTCTGCCTCAGTCTCCCAACTGCTGGGACTACAGGCAGGTGCCACCACAGCCAGCTTAGAAGTGGTTTGACCATAAATCAAGAGCTTTACTAATCAGCATTCAAGATGACTACCGAGAACCTTATCTGAGCAATTCATCCTCATGTGAATGGACACACACACATGTACACACACGAACATACTGTACACTGAGCACATTAAAACCAACACACTAAAATGATAGCAAGCTATAAGTAAGGTAGTAAACAAAAACAGCAATATAGAAGACCTGCAACTACCCCAAGAAACCATGTTATTTAGTTGCAACATAAAGAAAAATTTCAGTGACACAGTATTAAGAACTTTAGTTTAAAATGACAGCTATCTTTGGTACCTCCCAACAGTGACCCATTTGAGGTTTGCCCTTAGGCCCTAAGGAAACACTGGATCATGACTTCCATACTTTATCTTGGACAGCTAATATAGTCATATTGAATAAGAAAGAATACTCAACTGTTTCATTTCAGCAGGAATTCATAAATTAGTCTTCAGGAGCTGTTTAGGAAGGAAAGAAGGAAGGACAGACGGACCTCACTCACTGCCAAGCACTTAAAACAATCATGGGTCTAGTAGGTACCATGTAGGTAGTTCAGAGCCCTTGGGAAGTGGCCAACACCAGGTAGTTGTGCAAACAGTGCAAGGAAGGCAAATCTGCACAGCACATATTTGTGGCCAGACATGGCAGCTCTGCTTGCTTCATCCTTCATCATCCCTAGGCCAAGGTTCACACTGACCCCTTCATGCCCACCATCCCATGGGGCCTTTAGGCTATGTATGACAAGCTCCTCTGGGGCTGAGGAGCTCTTCTTCTTCTTTTTTTTTTTTTTTGCTGAACTGGGGACTGAACTCAGGTCCTTGCGCTTGCCAGGAAAGCGCTTATTCTACTGAGCCATCTCCCCAGCCCCTGAGGAGTTCTTTGATAGGAAAGATTTTCCCATATATGCAGATTACTTATATGGTAGTCTATTTGTCTTCTATTTTTCTCTAGGCATGCATAATCAATCTCAGTCACAACACACAAGAGATTATGGCAGCTTTGTTAAGGATAAACCAAGTTTACGGAATGGCTTTTGCTGTAATTGGCCAGTTGCAAACATTAACACACAACTGTCATTCACCCAGCTTCAGTAATAACACAGCCTACCTATAACTATAATCCTGCTTTCAAACAATTAGACTATAATGCCAAAGTTGTCCAGTCTACAGGGAAGTCCACAAAACAAATCTACAATATACTACTCAGAATGAATTAATTGTTGAAGGGGGTGAGCTCTAGACATTCTGAGTCAAGTTTCATTTCTTATTATTTGGTGGAAAAACTATGACTACATCCTGCTTTTAATGGAAAATCTCCAATGTGTTGAAGAACAGGAGATCCAAATGCCAGGTTGTCCCTCAGAGCCTTGGACAACTGTGTGCTAATCAGCAGCAGGTGCTAGTCAGCCTTTTCCTCTTGGGTGACCTCCAAGACAGACAGTGCTGGATGGAGCCCTCCTCACCCAAGGAATTCCACACAAAAGATAGGCTTGCTTGTCCTGAACCTGGGGCTTCTGATGGAGTCGTCTGTGACAGGCAGTGTCACCACTCTCAAACTTGAAGCCTTCACGAAGTTCCAAACTACACTATGGCCAGTCAGTAGACTGGACCCATGCCTTAAGCTGCTGTTGCTGTTCTTTTTGTTTTAAACATTCCCATTCCTCAGTGTTCTGAGGTTCAGTGTGGCTATCTCTGTTCTTGAGAGTTCTAGTCAGGAAAATGTCAGGAAAGGAAGACTAGAGAAAGAAGGGGAAAATAAGAAAAAGGACAGATCACATAGGAAGTACGTAATTTGCGCAGTCATGAGGAACTGGCCACATGTCTACAGCTACCTAAGCAGCTGCTATGCCTCTGTGTTACTAAGTGTCTCATCACTCTGGTCATGGGAAAGGCTCCTCTTGTCTGTACCCACAAAACTGTTCAGATGGTTGCTTCCACTTAAGGTTGACCTAGTTCAGTCCTAAGAAAAGTAATTAGAAAACAGGAGTCCAGTCTGAAGCGCCTGGCTATTCTAGCACACTAGCTCTGGCTTTTAGTGAAGTTGGTACATCATTTAACCTTGTCAACAAAGTGAGTGTGGACAGTCTAATGGGCTATTGACAGTTGTGTCTACTTTTACTATAAGGGGCTTTAAAAATCCTGACTTATACAAATACTAAAATATGCATCCCACATAGTTTAAATTTTCATTTTTCTTTCAATATGAACAGTTAATGCTTAAATGTATGCTTCATTTCAGTTTTTTGACCAATATTGCATGCTTATATCTAGTAATCTGAACAACTAATTTGAAGACAATATGCAATTTAACCACTGTTGAATTCCTATCATTTTGTTTAGTGAAATTCTCTATCTTTTTTTTTTTTTAATGTACTTAGTGCAGGGTCTATAGGGTCTCACTACACAGATTGGACTTGTAGTGATCCTCCTGTTTTCAGCTTCCCAAGCACTGGAGTTATAGGCACGTGCCACCACACCTAGTCTCAGTCATCATATCAGAGTGCCTCAGGGTCAAGGCCGGCATGACTGGTGGTGATGGGCATTGAGCCCTCGCCACTGTGTTCTGCCTAAGCAGCGCTTTAGTCCGCTGAGCTATGTGGCTGGTCCTCTGTATCACTGCTAATTTTTTTTTTTACTATTTTTTATTCTCTTTAAAATAATAAATTTTTATTGAAAAACCCTTCCCCTATTGCTAAGCTAATAATACCAACATACCTTCTTAGTAGCAAAGAATTTTAGGGAATACATAGGCCATTTCTTTGGGGCCAAGTAAACTTTCCAACATTTTTATTTTGATTCTCATTTAGACACTGAATTACTGTTAGTGACCATCTCAACTACAATTCAAAGATAAAGTCATTGTATTACTGAGTAAAACATGAGTTTAAAAGTTTTAAAAAATGGGGCTGGCAAGACAGTTCAGCAGTCTAAAGTACCTGCTTAGGCAAGCACATGGATGGCAGTTTGATCCCCGGCACCACATGACGCACCAGCTGGTCAGAAAAGTTTTTAAAAATTACCACATTTTTTAATTGAAAAGCACAAGATTAATTATAGATAGGAGATTACATGTTCTAAAGGGTTTTAAATGAATATATTAAGCAACATTTAAAATCACCCTATAAGCCATGAGCTCTTTGAGCCAGGGAGATCTATTTGACTTCTAAATTGTGTTTCTTCTGCATGTCATCAGCTTGCATATGAAGGGGCCATGGCAGGGTCGTCTCTACTTAAGTCTAGTCAATCATCGATCTGCTAAGGGCAAGGCCCGTATAACTGTTCTGGACTGTCCTACAGTACACAGAGCCTAAGGAGGGCTGAATATGCAAGTGGTAACTGATTATCAGTGAAGTACCATAAATACAGGGCAAAAATACAGAGTTCAGTGAGTAGTGTTGGGCTATGAAAAACTATAGTAAATATAGCCAGCTTCAGGGCAGAATATTCAAAATAATAATAACCTGAGTCTGTTTTGAGCTTTTCTGTAGAAAAAATTCATATTCATAGACAGTAAATAACTGACATAAAATATAAATTAAACAAGGAGCTGTCTTACATTAATGTTTATAACATTTGAATTAACACAATTAGATTAAAACTTGGACTGTCCTATTAATCAGTTTGAAACTGTCTCATTGATATTTGTTTCTAAATAAAAAAACCTTAAGGCAAAAAAGAAAAAAGCTTGACTATAACCACTGATGTTTTATGAATCCTGCCTGCAATCTGCTCAGTCAGAAGCAAAATACTGGGTTGCTGTATTAGTTAAAGCAACATTTATATATGAAACCAAAAAGCTTCCAAATTCTAACCATGTTTTATTAGAAGTGGTAATGCCTTCTAAACAGAAGACCATTTACCCCAGGTTCACAAGTATAGGATGGGAAACTGAATTAGTTCTCTATCTCCCAATATGTAAAAGTGAGCAAATCCAAATATGACGTTTTCAGATATCGAGCTGATAAGACGCTACACAGACAGTATAATTTCTGTCTGTTTGGTAACTGCTTCCAGATACTGAGAGGAAAAACCCAAACGCTTTTTTTTTTTTTTTTTTTTAACATGTTGGTATTACTAACAATTTCATTCTCTCTTTTAGACCACTGGGAGAGAGAAAACTACCCCTTAAAGGTTTTGGATAATATGGAAAGAGAACAGATGCTACAGTTCAATAATCAGGAGTTATATAAAGTAAGCTGTTTCTGCCTATGGTACTTGGATTTGAAGCAAAGCCCACTACCACCAACAACAATAAAAACCCTACCAACAAAAAACCTAGAGCAAATACAGAGGAAAAAATGGTTTTAAACCTGGGGTTCTGATTTTCTTAAGGTCACAAATTACCCAACAGGAATCTTTTGAAAGCTATGGGCATCTTCCTCAGAAAAATATTAGCATATTTTGCAAACGATATCAAGGGAATGTGGGCCCTCTGAAATCTATTTATGAACATAAGGTTAAGAGTCACTAAATTAAGCCAATTCTGGTTTAGCCTGCCTTTAGCAGCTTAAAATACAGAGATTACCTGCTGCAGAGAAAAAAGAGGGAAGGAAAAAATGCTGCTATTAAAGGAGGTCAGGGACTGCACAAAGCAAGGCCACAAAGCAAGCCAGACAGCGCTCCCAATGTGTCCTTACCTGTCAAAGGCTGGCTGAGTTCCGCCTGCACTTTACCCTTCGTTGATCCTTCCAGAGGTAAACCTCTGTCCCCTTTGTAGAGTTTCGGTTTAAATGGAGAATCTTTCTCTTTACCTTTTGATCCTTTAGGCCGGCCTGCTTGCTTCTTCTTGGATTTGCCATCCCCCTTCACACCCAGTAATGGATGCACTTCTGCGGAAGGACAGAGAGAGAGAGAGAGACATCAGAAGGAGGTCACAACAGTGCCAGCACCCCACAGATCTCTAAGCAAAGCAGACTGCGTCTGTGTCCCAGGTCCACTAATACAAGCAGAGAAGTCTGCCTATGTATTACTTTAAAAACTGTATGAGAGGCCATCATATGATAGCTGAGTGACAGAGAGGCATAAATAGCCTATATGGCTCATACCAAGAAACAACTTTAAAGTGAAAAGAGCCTACATCAAACCAAGGTGCCACACAAACACACTTGCAAGTGCATGTAAGCACCCAGAGGCATGAGGGAGCAGAAGGCTTTGGAACTCCTGTGCAAGAGGTCTTGGGCAAATTGCACAACCTCGTAACACATAACTTTGACCTAACTTATCTCCTTTGTGAAGCAGAAATAATAAGACAACTTTCAGGGCATATGTAGAGGTCAGTAATGTATATAAACCTCTCAACAGTGCTTGGGACAGAGCAGACATACAAGCATCAGGGAGATACATCATTAATTGGGCTGCAGTTAAAACCTTCTATGGGACAAAAATTATGAGCTATGTGTCAGAAGACAAAGTGTGTTATCTTAGGTAAGGTATTAAAGAGTACAATTTCCTCAATTTAACAGAAAAGTGAACATGGATGGAATCATAACAAAGCTGTCAAGCACTATCAGAAAGATTTGTTTACTATAGGGTAAAAATCACCCAAATAGTAAATTAAGAAATGCTGGAGGGGCCTGGGAGATGGCTCAATTGAATAAGCACTTCCTGGCAAGCGGAAAAGTCTGAGTTCAATCCCTGGTTCCGCCAAAAAAAAAAAAAAAATGCTGGAAAAGAAGAAGTGGTGCCTGCCAGTCATCAGAAGAGGTAGCTCTCACCGTCATTTGGTACTCCTTGAAGCTCTATATTGGTTGTTTTGGGTTTCTTCTTAGGTGGTTGGGACCCATCTGCTGAAGACTGCCTCTTCTTCTCAGAACTAGCTCCTTCGTCCATCAAGGAGGTTTGGACTGCATCTGGCGGGGGGCCATAAGGATTTTCTTCTGGGTCTTCTACCTCAGGGGCAATGGGTAAATACAACAGAGCCTTTGAATCTTCCAGCTCTTCATCACTATGTGGAACAGGATCAGAAAAGGGATTGGAAAAAAGAGGAGACAGTTGCTTAAACCATGAGCCCTTCCGCTAACACCTCTATTAAGCTTACATACCAGGTATAGACCTTTAACTTTAAGAAAGTGAAGATTAATAAAAGGAAATCAGAAATCAATAACTGTCAGCCCTGGGCTGGAGAGATAGCTCAGTGGAATAAGTGCTTGCCTGGCAAGCACAAGGTCCTGAGTTCGATCCCTAGTACCACCAAAAAATAAAAATAAAAAAAGTCAATAAATGAATTATTTCTATTTCTTAAATTCTGTATCAATGAGAAGGGAAGGGAAAGTAGGACTAAAGAAGAAAGACTAAATCATTCTTTTTTTGCAGAACCAGGATTAAACTCAGGCCTGTGCTTATTCTACTGAGGCATCTCCCTGGCCTCCTAAATTATTCCTTTTATACAGCAAAGTGATCACTATTTCAGCTAACAAGCAGATGGGACTGTAGGAACAGTCAGGGAGCTGAGCAGTACCCACTAGAGACAGGAGGCACATCCCAGCCCTCCAGGCTGCTCACCTGCTACAGAAGGCAGCAATGGGGTCCACACTGGTGACATCGACTTCCTCATCTTCAGCAGCATCAGCCCCTAAAGGACAGAAACACAGGACAGGTCTGAAAAGAAATGAAAACTACTTTTTCATGTAGCGTAATGATTTACAAACTGAAATGCAGGAAATACAGAAGAAGAAAAGCAAGTTTAATATTTAACAAGTAAGAGCTCAATTTCATCCATATGCTAGGGGAATAGTGATGACCATGGAAGTTGAGAGGGGCTTTTCAATCAAGAAAAGCTCTGGGTAAACAGACGTAAGTGGACAATTTCAATTTAACACAGTAAGTGCTAAATAAAAGTATGTGCAATGAACATGGGAGGTAGGAATGGGGAATAGTTTATGTGAAAGTCTAGGAAGGCTCACAGAGCATGATCCCAGAATGCCAAAACAATCCACAACATTTTGCACCCTCAGAGTTGTTCCTGAAACATGCAAGGCATGCAGATTACCTAATACTCAGAAGTAAGTACCAGCACTTTCAAACTGAACAGAATTAACCTTAATCTTGATTCCCTGATTCCTGCACCATGAAATGGTGCAGCAGCAGCAGATCTGTGGCATTAGTTACAGTGCCAGCTGGGCATTCTAAAGCACTCACACAAATCCCATCTGCATGTAAAGCTTCACGTTAGACGTCAAGAAGATAAAAATCAACTCTTCATTTTCAAAGGGGTCCTATCTACAAGTTCAGAAGATAAAAATAACAATGGTTGCTGGGGATACATCTCAGGGGCATAGCACCTGCCTGGCAAATGTGAGGTAGTGAGTCCAATTCCCAGTACCCAAAAAACCCCTAAAACACAATTATCACGGACTTCTATCATAACAGAAAATAACATTAGGATGCTTACTACGATACAAAAATACACTAAGTGCTTTCTATGATTTTATTTCCAAAAGCTCCAAAAAATAGGCACTATTATTACCTCTATCCAATGCAGATTTATACATTAAGGTTAAGTATTTTGCCCAAAACAGACTCCAGAGCCCATGCTCTTGGCCTTTTTCTCACTGACAAGGGGGTGACAGAACACGTGACACAGCAGCACTTGGTACATCTGAGGGCAGCAACAAACTGTTGCTGGGTGCTATCCATAAAGCCTCATTTAGCTACCTGTAGTTGATTAGCAAGTACTAGAGAAATGCCTTGAACCCTGAGTTAAGACTCCTCAAGCACTGTGAAACTTATGTATACTTAAAGAAAAACACATTATCCTAAACTCTGAAATAAATTTACACCATAAATTTAAAATATTAAGTAAAGCAATCATTTTTCTTTCTGAAATCCCATCTGCAATTGGGAAACATTACCTGTCTGCTCAGGCTCACTCTTATCTTCATCTTCAATATCAAACTCTGATTCCCTTTCCTCATATTCAACATTTTCATCCAACTCTTTGAAATCTGGTGCAAATGCACTCCAATTTTCCTATACCACAAACAAAACACACTATTTAAAGAAAGCAATAATCTAATCCTAAATACAATGACATAAGTGAAAGAGTTAATAACTTAGATTCACAGATAAAAACTAGTTATCTATATAGGTTTTACTTACTTAAGGTAGTTCCTATTTAAACACTTCAAGTTGTTAACTGTAGCCTCTAATAAATAATGACTTGCTTTAATCTTTTAAGATATAATTCTGAGGCAAAAATACTAAAATTTTTTATTGTCAATCAACTTTATTTGCAAACAGAAATTCCTCTGTAAACAGCTAATCTACATTAAATTGTGTGACTATGTTAGTCTGATTATAAATATAGCTTAAAAGTAAAATCAAATGTAAAACAAAAACTGACCTGAAGATAAAAGCAAAGAAAAAATATAGTTCAAGTAACAGAAATATACTAGCCTTCCTCCATGAAAACAGCAACAAAAACTACTTAGGACCAAGATCATCCCATCAAAATAAAGTAACACTAGACACACTGAACCTATTTATTTAGGCTACCACATTCGTATGCAAAGAAAGTAACTAAGGTAGTTTTTAGCTTACTATATGTCAGGTTCTTTGACAAAAAGGGGCAGTTTCAAGGCAAGTGAACCAGAAAAATACTTACTACTTGATTTTGTGCCCAGATAGATACTACTCCACTAGAAATGGATGCTATGATGGGTCGAACAGGATGCCACTAAATTTGAATGAAGGAAAGGAAATTTGAGTGAGTTTTAACAGATTCAAGATGGCCTAGCCTGTGTGAGTAACGGCAGCAAGGCCTGCTCGACTCACTGCTACATCCAGGAGCAGCTCCCCTCGCGTTCCATGGAGAATCTTCACCAGGTTGCCAATGCTCTTCTCCCATATATACAGGGCATGCTGCCGGGCGGAGCCTGCCACAATGTATTCCCCATCCCCAGAGAAGCAACATTTCTTCCATGGGGTCCTAAAGGAGAAAAAAAGTCCCCAAGGAGAAATGGAACTTGAATCTCATTGAAGAACCACCCCTCACCCTTCTGGGCTGTGATGCGTACCTATTCACCAAGTCCTGCAGTTTCTGCATGGGTTCAGGCTCTCCATCTCTACCACAGGTTAAGATTTCTCTGCCATCATAAACTCGGATTATTCGATCCGCTGTATTAATTAAAAAGCAACTACAAAAAAAAAAAAAAAAAAAAAAAGAAAGAAAAGAAAAAGAAAGCAACAGAGATCAAGAATCTGTTCTTGTCAACATCTTCCCAAGGGCAGTAATACAAACAACTAATTAACTGCGGAGAGCCTGAGAAAAGAGCTAAGATTAGAATGCTTTCACATCCTGGCACCTCCAAAACCAAGTCAAGTGAGAATATATTCTTCCTGTGTATCCTTATACTCAAATTGTTCAAACTGTCAGTATTTAACTAAAACCCAAGGCCTCTTAAGTGAAGCCAGCTTGCTCAATTTAGAAGGTTATGTTACATGCATATAAATACTTCATTTTGCTGGTCAGTTTATGAGTTAATAATCTAAATATGTCATTTTAAAATCTCATTTTTCTTTTTACTGTAATGGCAGCAGAATCTTTAGACTGTACTGCCCTTTTCCTAATTCAAGAGCACACTGAGGGGCTGGTGAGATGGTGGCTCAGTGGTCTAAAGCACCTACTTAGAACAAGCTAAGCTAAGCATAAAGCACAGGGACCTTGGTTCAATCCCCAGCACCATATGCCAGCCAGCCCCGCTCCTGGTGGGCTGAACTGGCCACACACACACAAAATAAATTAATTAATTAATTAATTTTAAAAAAAGAGCACACTGAGGGGCTGAGACTATCTAAGAGTAGAGTGCTTACCTAGCATGCATGAGGCAGTTGGTTCTATCCCTAACACCACCCACCCCTACACACAGCCCTGAGAGCACTCTGAACATGAACATCCTCTAGGCACATACATATAGACATTCCTAAACAGAACACAACTCTTTTGACAACCTTTTCCTTTTTGTTTTTGCTGATACTTCTACTTCTAATGAGATAACCAAATTTATCAGAATAACATCTGAAATTAAAAGGGTAAATAGATTTTATGCAAATGTACATTTAATTACTGAGTCAATTTTATAAGTTCTGCTCATAAACATATTTAGACCCCTGGGTGTAACTCAGGAGTAAAATACTTGTCTGGTATGAAGAGATCCGGAGTACAACCCTCAGCACCACTATGAAAAGTAAAATAAAATATTTAACCTTTACCCAATGCTTACAATGTGCCAAGCATTTTGGATCTAAGCACTGACCACTTGAATACCTTTTCAGTAAAGAAGATAGTGTTCAAATAAGGAAAACGTGACTACTGGTTCAATAATTTTGTACGCCCAAGAAATAAATATGAAGAGTTTCTTGCAACTTCAATAAATTTTAAAAGTATAAGATACATAAAAACTGTACATTTCAATGCAGTTTTACATTCTTCTCCTTTTAAAATTATCCCTAAAAAGACAAGGTCTCACTCACCTCCCCTTCCGGGCAAACTCAATTGACTTAATGGCCGTGGTATTGCTTGTTCCAGTTGTTACTCTGAAGGAAGCAACAAGATCCTGAGAATCTGTTTTTAGGACCAAAATCTAAAGTTTATAAAAAAAGAAAAAAAGTAAATATTCTGATAACTAACTGTAATTAGATCTAGCTTCTCTGAAACTGAGCAGAAACTAAGTAAAAATGCAAACATTGCTATTTCAATGTACTCAAACTCAACCTTATTAATGAAACTGTTTTTTGCTTTTTCAAATAAACTACAATCTTAGTTGGGCAACTGCTCACACCTATAATACTAGTACTCTGGGATGCAGACCCAGGAGGATCAGAAGTTCAAGTCCAGCGTGGGAAATTTAGCAAGTCTCCATCTTAAAATAAAAACAAATACAAAAGGCCGGGAGATGTAGCTCAGTGTGAATCCTGTGCTGTAATGGAGACAGACCCCAGGGTTCAAATCCTAGCACTAGGGAGCAGAGGGAGTGGTCTTCACAATCTATTCTTAAAATATGATACTTCATATTATTCACAATAGTCAAGTAGTGATAGCAACCCAAGTATTCATCAACAGATGGACAGTTCAAGAACATCTGGCATATGCCTACATATTATTGAATTTTGAAAAGGAGAGAAATTTTGATATACTACAACATGAATGAACCTTGAGGTCATTATATTATGAAAAAAAGCCAGGTGCAAATGGAAAAATAAGGTGAGTCCACTTACAAGAGGTACATGGAGCCATCAAAGTCATAGAAACAAAGTGAAATGGTGGTTGCCAGGGACTGGGAAATTTACTGTTTAATGGGCACAGTGTTTCAGCTTTGCAAGATGCAAGGAATTCTGAAGAGAATGGTGGTGAGGCTTGAATGAACTTAACAGCACTGAACTTTACATTTAAAAATGCTTAAAATGGTAAATTTCATTTTATTCATTTTTTTAAAAATTGCCCATTATTATTTTTTTTCCAGACAGGGTTTTGCTGTGTAGTTCAGGCTGGCCTTGGAACTCACAGCAATCCTCCTGCCTGAGCCTACTGAGTGCTTGGATTACAGGTATAAGTCAGCATGCCTGACTAATTGCCACTTTCTAAAACAACCAAGAGGGCTGGGGATATGGCTAGTAGCAGGCAGGGTCTGCCTGACAGTGCAAGGCCCAGAGTTCAATCTCCAGTATTACAAAGAGAATACATAAATAAAGGAAACAGCTGTGAAATTATACTAGCCCATATGTGCTAATCAAAAACAAAAGAACAACAATAAAAAAAAAACAAAAACAAAAGAACAAAATCAAGGTGGCTAATGGGATTATAAACACTAAGCATGCAAAGAGCCCTAAAACTCACCTAAGCACCCTCATACTCCACAGAAAAAATAGTAATGCAACCTAGGGAGAAAGGTCTATACTTTCCAAACATTCCAAAAGGCAAAGGGAGAAGTTTAACAGGAAAGAAAAAAGAAAAATGACAAATGCTTGGTACTATAGGGTAAGCCAGACTGAATTGCACAATGTTGCATGCAACTATATATCAAGACATTTTTGTCACAAGTGTTCCAGTTAGTAATATGACTTCTAATGTTAGTTAATTAATACAGGGGGCAGGGAGATGGCTAAGTAGAATAAGTGCTTCCATGGCATGCACAAGGGCCTGTGTTTAATCCCTGGCTCCGGAAAAAAAAAAAAAATTAATACAGTAATGACCCTTCATTACTAGTATTTACTTAAGGTCTTTCTATCCATTTCTATGTCAGATCTCTGCCCACTCTAAATTCAAAGAAGAGAAATCAGAATTGAGGCATGAAAGAAAAATAAGCTAAATTTGCAATACGTGGGAGCCATGCTTAGACCAGGAATAACAGAAACTTCCAGAGACATTCAAGTTCACATACAGAATGAGCCAACGCATGACATGCTTGGTCCTCACTTTATCAACTTCCAGGTTCCTTGGCTTACCTTGCCTTTTGCATTTCCTGTATAGATATATTCCCCTCGCCTATCAAAAGATGCCACCACGTTCAAATCAGAGTCATCGTCTACCGGCAGAACAACATGTTTGGAATCTGAAAGGGTCAACATGACAGGAGCAGATTTCATGGGACACACGAGAACCTTGTTCCTGTTTAAAAATATGAACAGCACATTGTCTATTGCTTTGGTATCAGCAGGCTGATCCCTGATCTCTGTCCACTACCCACAGCAACCCTTCCAATAAGCAAATCTGAAATCTTGCCCAATGACAGGGAAAAGACTGAGTAAAATTATGGGGATCCTATCTTGACAAAATAAAATGTGATCACTGAAAATATGCATGAATATATAATTTCACTAGCAAAATATGAAATAAAAATAAAAAATAACTGGCTATAGCTATGTAAAAAATACATACTGAAATATATCTAACATGGACTGAGCTATGAGGCACTATATAAGAAGTTTTATACTTACAGAGAAGTTGACTACGGGAGATCCCAGAGAAATGAAACAGCTATGTCTGGGTAATGGAATGGTAAATGACTATTTTTCTTAAATGTAGCTTTAATAATGAACCATTTACTTATATGAAAGAAATCCAAAAAATTAAGGAAGGAACAGCCCAAGTCAAGGCCCAATCATCATACTTACTGCCATCTTTGCTCATTTTCAAAATCTTAATTTGGCCAGTTTTTAACCATTACATATAGTTAAGCAAAGAGTTATAATATACAACATATATGTATATTATATATAAATACAGTTAACAATCTCCTTGAAAATGTATGCAGTATAGCCAACCTAGAAAGGTTATTTTATGTAGATCTTAGAAATGTGTAATGTTTGCCACTTAAAACATTAAAGTTGTCATGATCCCAGAGCTAATCCATTTAGAGTTAGACCCCACCCTTAATGAATAACAGAAATGAACAGTGGAAACATACTGATCTCGTGGATGATATTGGACTTTTAAGATGGGTGAAGGGAATCGAAACCTCTGGTCACAGTCTCCTGATAGAACATCCCATTGTGATACTATGTTATCAGTGGAAGCACTCACGAGCTTATGGCCATCTCGACTCCAGCTAGGAAAAACAAAAGGATAACAGTACATATTCAAAGTTAAAATACAATATATCGTATAATTACTGTGGACAAAATGCAGGCCTTACATGTTCTCCTTATTGCACAAGGCAAGAATTTTTTTAAAAGTACTATATGCTCAGGCTGGGGAGACAGCTCAGAGGCATAAGCACCTGCCTGGTAAGTGTAAGGTCCTGAGTTCAATCCCTGGTACCAAAAAAAAAAAAAGTACTATATGCTCAAATCTATATTAGATAGGCACAGTGGCACATACCTGTTAAATCAGCTCTTGGGAGGTTGAGGCAGGGATGTAAGTTTGAGGCTCATCTGGGAAATTTAGTGAGACCCTATCTTAAAATAAAAAATAAAAGGATAGAAATGTATCTCAGTGGTAGTTTTTTAAGGGGAAGGGGACGAGGCAGGGTCTTACTATGTAGCTCAGAGTGGTCTTGAACTCATTATGTAGGCCATGCTAGCCTCCAACTTGTGACAACCCTCCTGCCTCAGCCTCCTAAACACTGAGACCACAGGTATATACCACCACACCCAGTCTTCTGGTACCACTAAAGACAAACAAATCACTATAATAAACTTTCTCCAGTAACTAATAAATAAGACTTTTCATGGTATCTTTATATGTAGTAGTTAACAGTTGAAGGGGCTCAGTGAAATAATAGAGACTGAAGTATCTTAGAAAACCCCCAAATCAGCTAGCCTTTAGGAGCTGAAATCACACATAAAAGTGGTTGGGGTAGGAGGGCTTGAGGATAAAGAGTATCTGAATATTCAGAAAGTGTCCCAAAAGTAGCACCATCACAGCATGAGCAAAACAAAAGGAAAAATCTGTTATTTAAAAATAAGAAAAAAGGGGCCGGAGAGATGGCTCAGTGGAATAAGTGCTTCCCTGGCAAGCGCAAGGGTCTGAGTTCAATTCCCGGTTCCGCCAAAAAAAAAAAAAAAAAAAAAAAAAGAATAAAAATAAGAAAAAAGGAAATATCCCTCTGCTAAATATAGCCAAACACTTTGGACCTTCTATAAAACAAACACAGTCTTCTGGATGGTTAACAACGTAAGTTTGCAGACCAAAATTAGAGAAAAAGGAGGGCTACAAGGAATGCCAACATTTTGGCCCTAACCTTCTAAGGTCAATTAAGACTCAGGACATATGAGAACTTGTACTGTAATATCATGTACTTCGGTA